CCAAAATCCCCCCTTACTAAGTGGAGCTGTTCCCCAGTCTAAGAAAAATCCTTCACCCACCGGTCAGTTTCCCGGAAAAATATACCCCTATCCCAGCGGCAGTTCCCCCTCCCCCCCCGGGGACTCATCCCATTTTGTCCATGTGAACATTAATCTATTGTCATGACACACACTACGTCTGGGTGCACACTGGTTTCCCGCGAAGAGAGAGGTCATTTCGCGGGGGAACCAGAGCAAAAAAATTATAGCGTTGCAAAATGTCGTCGTTTTCTCGGGCCATAAGAAAAATGATAATGGGGCTGTGAGAGGAGGCAGGGAAAAAGGTCAACAAATATTCTCTCTACAAAATATGAGGAAAAAAAAGTGCTTGCTCTCAGCAGACTTGAAACTCACGCCGTGACCAACTCCTCGGTGTGGTCAGTACGGTACGTGTGCTTCAGTACAAAAAAATTGGTATTGTTTTCCAACTTGTTTCACAGAGATGGGTGCGATATAGCCTGTGTGACAGGCGCTAGGAAGTAGTGGGCGCAACACAATTATTCCTCGAGCCCGAATGGGCTCTGAGTCAATAGCCCATGAGGCCGAAGGCCGAATGGGCTATTGACTCAGAGGCCATGAGGGCGAGAGGAATAATTGTTATGGTAAAATCCAACTAGTTGGTCAAAAATATCGAGAATAAAAAAAAATTAGCTAGGTAAAAGCTAGACTTTAAGCCTTTTTTGCCGCCAAAAAAGCCCGCGCTTTTCGCTACTAGTGGGCTATAACATATAGCCTAGTAGTAGCTCAACCAATCAGAGCGCAGCATCGATAATAGACCACTTGTTGGATTTTACAAAAAGAGAATACCCTGGGGGGCGCTCAACAAAGTTTTATACAGCTATGTCGAGAAAGGTTGTCGGAAAAAATTAAACATGCACGCAACAATCCCGAAAGGTAATTTGGACCGTATGATCAATACATTGTTCCTGACACTGCAGCTGTCAAACCTACTTTTGTTGCTTTCCTTTAGCAATCTCAATGATATATCCATGGCCTCTCTTGCCATTCTTTCAAATTTCTTTGAAGAACGGTGAGCTCAAAACCACCCACAATAACGTTCGGGATTGTCGCGGGTACTTTTTCCGACAACCTTTCTCGAAATCGGCTGTATAGGTTTTAGTCACTCTCTTTTTTAACTCGGCTGCCTCAAGACACGCCCAGTTCGTATAAATTTGGTTTCGGAATTTTTCGATCTCCTACGATGAAAAATGAACACTTTTTATTATTGGGCCAGTAAACGAGAGAGTGTTGCGTGATCCATAAAGTATATTTGTCCATCTTCGCAGAGTCTGTTTAATTAAAGACTGATTTCTTTCTGTTTGATGCAACGCACTTTTTTGTGGAGGTCTAAACATAGTTTCCGATTAGGATAAGACAAGACACTTGAGATCCACTTCTCAACTTCACTTACGCTCAAGTTGAGAAAGTCATTGGATTTAGTCACGGCCACAAAGTTGGCAAGAATGAAGGTTCTCGCAGCCTCTTGTAATTCAGAACATGGATACTTTTCGCTGGAGAAATAAACCATGATACAGTTTGAAATATTTAGAGTTTGTTCAATAAACTTACAGCAGATTAATTTAAACCTTGAATTAGAAAATAATCTGCAACAGCCATCAACTCAAACGCATTCTTGTCATTGATATCAACATGTCCTGTATGTGTACAAATACTCCAGAACTTGTTCCATCGAAACTTTGCTTGTATCTTTTAATCGAAAGACTCCCTCTTCCTTTTCTTTCATCTCAGTGTTGAGGGCGTTATAAAAGAACGGACTGGTGGCACATAACACGTTTTTGTGAGCTTTCAACCGAACTTGATTATCATCCGACCCAACTTCAAGAATCACATCACACAGATGCTCGTTTCTTCGAAAATAATCGAGGCGTTTCATTATTTCCACACAGTGCTGTTGGGTGTCATTATTTATGACTGGTTCAAGAAGAGAACTCATAATTCAAGAAACCTTGCCGTAAAGGGAACTGAAAACCCAACAAAGTTGTTTTCAAGCACAAGCCAGTGTAGAAGGATGAACCATGCAGACCATGCGACAAAGGAATTTGTAGTTTCAGGGCTCTGAGGGTGATTGGACAGATTGGAGGAGCGTCGGAATCTGTAGCCTGCGTAGCAAGCGTTTCCGCTTGGTTTCGGAGCAAAGAAAGACAGGGGAACGGGATTCTCGGTTTTGGCCGTGCGAGAAATGAAACAAGAGCCAAAAAATGAAAGTGGGGTTTGTCTGCAAGCGTTTCCTTCCTTTTTTTCCCCACCCCCTCCCCGCTCTTGTACTTACGCCATTTTTCGCGCAATCTTTGAATCTCGTTCCTCGTTCTTTGCTCCTAAACCGCACGGAAACGCTTGCTACGCAGACCACGGAATCTGGAATGCTAAGTGCTTGAGGGGCGGCCGGGGTGTATGCAATATTTGTTGAAATGTAATCACTCATCACTTTCTCATTAAAGGGGTACCTTCTTGGAGAGCCTATAGTCGATAAACAGTAATTTTAAGAATGTGTTTTTCAAGGCCCTATTTTTATATACCATGTCTATGTGCGATGAAAACATCATAAATCTTTCTGCCTCTTATATTCACCCTCGGTCCCAGGGCTTTTCCCTTAAAAAATGGGTGGGGCCGCCCCAACCAATTTTTAAGGGAAAGGCCCTGGAGACAAGGTTGTCTTATATTGAAAATATTCGGCGCAATCGACCTGAATCAGTTGAATTCAAGCTTGTCCTTTAGGCAAGAAGCTCTCGCATTTTGTTGCCCAGGGCTACTTCTTTTTTTTCAGTTTGACAAGTAAACTTTTAGTTTAAAGTTACTTGCCCAGCAATAAATCGATATCTTCTTGTCTCAGACTACTGTTGGGACGCTGGTGATATGTTGGTTCAACAAGGTAACGCCCGCGCTCAGGAGCCCATCATTTGATGGGCTCCTGCCGCGCTCAAAGAGTGAAGTGTTCAAAACCAAGTTGAAAACTAGCCTGCGAGCAAGCTCTCCATTTGGGGATATCGTGAAAAGTACACGCGCGAGTGGCACGCGAGAGGAGACGCAACAAAGGCCTCTCGGGGCGTCGCCGCTCGCTCGCGCGTTCTCGCGCGGCTCTTTTCGCTCGCCCAAATAGAAGAGCTTGCTCGCAGGCTACCCCATCTACTCCGGAATTGGCTCCTTGCGGCTTCCTTCTCTTGTACAAGATATATTTCCATCTGAAGGGTCGGACGTTTTGGCTAATATTCAAGGGGACGTTCTAAGCTACGCAGAAGAGCTGAAAGAGGAGAATTGCTGCTCATTGGACAACTGTAAAAGGGACGGTGCACAAATTTTAACCATTGACATACCGTAAAATTCGGAAAATAAGCCCCTCCATGTAAATAAAAGGTAAAACAAAGTAAAAACGGTAAATTCCCTTCCACATAAAAGGCAAGCCCAATCGATTTTGAAACGCAAATTACCCTCCGTAGATAAGCCCCTCAAAAAGGGCCTTTAAAAAATATAAGCCCCGAGGCTTATTTTCGGAATTTTACGGTATAAGGAGGCCTTAAAGGAAGAAGTTCCGTAACTTTTTGACCGCACTGTTTACTGCCGATTAGTTGATTTTATTATTTTACTACCTTGCACTGAGAAAGATAACTAGAAGAGAAAAAAGAGAAATTTGTTGCGAAGTTGAGGTCTAATTTTTGAACTTCTGCCACGAAACAGAAAGATAGCAAATAGAGAGCAATGAGCTAGACACCTTCAAACGGAAGACCCCTTCTGTATATCAGTTTTTTTTCAAAGCGTTAAGTTTCATTTGAACGATTTACGAAACAGATTGTCTCTGCATTGGAATGTTTGTTTCCGCGAAACACGGAAAACGCCCTTTCGCATAATAGAGCTCTCTAGCTTGTATGTTTTGTTTTTCCAAGTCAGGTCATGTGATAATACTCATGAGAAATTTCTTTCAAATTTCGTCTTATTCACCTGCACATGAATGCATACCGTAAAATTCCGAAGTAAGCCCCTCCATGTATAAGTCCCTCCAAATATAGGCCCCCCAATCCGGTAACGCAAAAAACCCTCCATTAAATCGCCCCTCCAAATATAAGCCCCCCGGGGGCTTGTACTTGGAAAATTGCCCTCAAATACAAAGTAAAACAATGCAAAAATGGTAAATTTACTTCCAACTATAAGGCTAGCCCAATCGATTTTGAAACGCAAATTTCCCTCCATAGATAAGCCCCTCCGAATCTAAGCCCCTCAAAAAGGGCCTTTGAAAAATATAAGCCCCGGGGCTTATTTTCGGAATTTTACGGTAATTAATGTAAAGACAAAAGGTTACGTTCCCCTGGTATCTCTAATGAAAAACAAAACATACAAGCTAAAGAGGTCTATTAAACGAGCTACGCTCGACATCTCAAAACATTGATGGCATCGGCAATTGCTCACAAAAAAAATTAAATAAATAAATAATAACCGAAACAACAAACACATAATGACTATATACAAATTTTACTGAAGGTCTTTAAGGATAATTTAATCTTTAAGAATCTGCCTCAAGCATAAGTTAAAGTAGCCTTCTTCTTCTCAAAACGAGAAAAGGAGAAACCAAAGCTCCTGGAAGAGACCTGAAGGGTGGTGCTGGCAAGAAAATAGGCGCAGGTGCAGAATATACGGAATGACGGTTACCGCGAGTTCCCTCTTACACCGACACGCAAGGCAAACGTGACGCGCTGTTCAATTTTTGTAAATGACCGTTATCAAGTGCAAACGATAGTATTTGTTTAGGTCTATAGGGAAGGTAAATTGATCGCCTAGTATAAAAGAGACATAAACCAGAGAGGAGTTCAGTTCGACGCCCTCTCCAGCCCTTCAGAGTTCCCTGGAGAAGAGGCTATACATGAACTTGGTATGCTTGAGCCTGTCGTAAGGTATTAAGACTTCGGAGCTGAAGAAGGTAATTGCCGAAGTCAGTAATCGATAATTACTCGGGAAAATAGTACGAAAATCGTTCGTAGCTTGAAGGAACCAAATATAGGAACAAAATACAGTTGGAAACTTCTTTAAAAATGGCATTCATTTGTTTGTTCTGAAGACGGGTTTAAGCTGCATTTCAATCCTAGCGTTCTTTCTTAGTTTTCCCACTTACAGTCTTGTCAAAGACCAAATAAATAATTACACATACATCAAAACACTTACCACAAAGAACTTTTAAAATAAAAATCTGATGCATTAGATAGTTTTCTTGGTATAAAAGGAATACCAAGAGAGGATAAAGGGGACACGGGTTGTCAAAGAGTCCAGCGATTCGCTTTTCCCAGGTGAGCGCCGACTCATTTCGCTTCAATATTCCGAAACGCTCTCGATCTCTTTACGCTTTCATTGGCTTTCGCCCGACATGTTTTGCACGGCGTTTACTCATGCGAAACCTCCACGAAACCTCCACGCAGCGCGCGAGGTAACTTTATCCCGATTCTAAAAATAACTCGAGACGAATTACCTATGGGATAGGGTGTGTATGGGGGATGCCTTTTCTGTGCCCTTTATCCTCTCTTGAGGAATACGCCATAAACTCTATTGTACAATGTACTGAAAACATATTACTTTAAGGTCTTTCTGCGCGGTTGTGAATTATATGTACTTCTTTGTATCAGCTCTAATCTATACTGATACCTGACCATCGCTAAACATTCCCGAAACTCAACCACAGAAGAATTCGCTTGCACTTGGAAGAAGTTGGCAAAGGTAGGTGGAAAGCGGAGAACGGATATATAACTTATTTGCTATAATATTAATTTTATGTGTTTCGAGTGACTTGTTTTTTTGCTTATGAGCTGCCGATTGGCCCACAACCAACTTTCTTGCAATGAACTGGTATTTTCCCTTAATCCAATTGGTCAACTTTGGCTAGGTGGCCTCCGTTACAGATTAGTCGCAATATAAGAATTCAGTAACAATAATTCTTGTTGAATTCTTGCATTGTGAAGACAAGTAAAGGATAACATATCATGTTATTCATTATTTGTCTTCATAATATCTAGGAACATTTTGATGGATCGAACTTCAGTTTTACCAGGTAACAAATGCCTGCAGTTTAGAATTTACTGTCTGTTGTTTCAACAAATTGTAGCACAGTAATAGTTACTGTGCTACAATTTGTTGAAACAACAGACAGTAAATTCTAAACTGCAGGCATTTGTTACCTGGCAAAACTGACTGTTTTCAGCATCGTGTACTTGTAATATCTGTTATTGAGAGTAAGGGGGCTTTCATTTCTTAGTGCCAGCTTGAAGGGTTGGCAAAATCACTTTTATTGTCTTCCAAAGATTACCCAACCCCCTCCCCCTTCCTTGGCAGGCAAAAATGTCATATCCCCCTGTACTTCATTCAGTTTATTTCTTAACCCCCCCCCCCCCCCCCCCCCCCCCCCCCCCCCCCCCCCCCCCCCCCACCCCCACCACACCCCAAAAACAACCAAAATTATATCTATATTTATATATAAAAAACAAAAAAAAAAAAAAAAAAAAAAAAAAAAAAAAAAAAAACAAAAAAAAAAAAAAAACAAAAAACAAAAAAAAAAAAAATAAAAATACAATACTATAATTTTATTCATTAGTGGAAGTCTGGAGGTTTGCCTAAATCTATTTGACTATCGTACAAAGATTACCCTGCCCCCTCCCCCTTCCTTGACTGGGAAAAACGTCATATCCCCTTGTACTTCAATCATTTTATTTCTTCACCCCCCCCCCCGCCCCTCTGACAGCCAGACCATGATATATAACTACACCAACTATTTTTAAAACAATGTGTTTGTCATATTAATTTGGACAAAAATACAACTCAACAAACATACTATTAAAGCAAACCTAAACAAGAAAGAAGATCAAAACTGTTTTTAAAACTGTATGAAACCCATGTTGTTAATTATACTTCCTTTAAGTATATAAAAATGATGCGAGAAATAAAAATGAACAAAAAATGGTGATGCCAAGGAATAGAGAGGTGCTGCATAGTGAGATGGATTCACTTGCTATATTGCTCAGGTCCATCAGGTGTCTATTCATTGTCATCACTATTGCTGCAGTCATCGTCACCAGTATTGCTATCATCATCACTAGCTGGGTTTTCAGTTCACTATCTTTATAAATCCATTGGGTTGTCCGAGTGACATCTGCCCCTTGAGAAACACATTTCTTATGTTAACTAAAGCTAAATAAGTTCACAATTCAAATCTACTTAATACATGCGGAGATGAGTGGGCTGTCCGAGTGACACCCCCCTTGAAAAACACACTCGTATATTAACTGAAGCTAAATAAGTTCATGATTTAAATCTACTTAATACATGCGAGGATGTGTGGGTTGTTCGAGTGACACCCAGCCCATGATAACTTAAGCTAAATAAGTTTGTGATTCAAATCTACTTAAACAAATTCTAATATTAAACTTAAGCTAAATAATGTTGCGATTTAAACCCTTAGAAAACAAATTCTTATATTAACTTATGCTAAGTAGGGTTTTGATTCCAACCTTTGAAAAACTAGGAATTATTCTAATGTTAAACTTGAGCCAAATAAGGTTGTGATTTGAACCCTTGAAAAACAAATTCTTATATTAACTGAAGGAAAATTGAAAAAGGCCTGGGTTCAAATAGCAGTGTTACGTTACATTGTTGTGTTACGTTGTTAGGTTTTATTTGTCCATCGACTTTAGGATCTGCATACAGAACAGAAAAACTGTACTCTCTGGGCTAATCCTGACGTCAAGATTAAAAAAAAAATACTAATTCCAAAACAGAGAGTTAATTTGATCCCTTCAGACAAGGATATTTGGCGTTCTCCAAGACCACTGTGAAGTTAATCAATAACACAAACCGTGGAAAGTAGAGAAGGCGGGAGTATACCAATAAATTGGTATAAATAACATTTTGTACCTTATCACAATCTGGTTGGGGGCTAATCGTTTAGAAAGTGGGGAATAATTGTCCATAATGTGGGGGCCAGTTGTGATGGGCTAATTATTGTCTGGGGGGCAAGTGGTCGGGATACCGACACAGGCTATTGTTTGAGTGATTTTTAAGATCCACTCTTGACTTCCCTTTTCTCCAATCATACTTAAATTTCACGTTCTGACAGTTATTATAAACAGTTTGTCAAAAATTGTTACTTACTTCTTAAATAACCATTTTTACATAGAGAAAGGAACATCTAAAACATTTTTTTATCCTGTTTTGAAAAACTTAAGAGTAGAGAGTTTGTACAACTTAGTGCCCAATTTGCCATGACTATAGCAAAGTTTCCACTCATTTTCCTCAACATCATATACTTGTAATAAGTGTTGTTGAGAGTCATTCTGATTCACCCCAAATTTACCCAACACAAAAATCTGTCCTTTGACACAAACAGCACTTGCGCGGTACCTTGGAGCAATGTCATTTGCGATCTCAGTCCAAACATTTGTGTCTTTGTCATAAACTTCACAAGGACATCCACCAGACAGATCAACACCCCCAAAAACAAAAATTTTGTTACGTAAACTAACACCAGCAGCCCCTCTTCTTTTAGCTTGAGTTGGTGCAATTCTGCTCCAGGAGTTTAATTTAGGATCAAACCTTTCAACAATATCAAGACATTTTTCAGATATCACATTTGTATACCCTCCAATGGCATATATGTAGCTTTCATCAGCTGCTACACACACATCGGATCTGGCACTACTCAGGGGAGAAACTTCCTCCCACAAGTTTGTACTGGGATCATATTGCTTTACAGTTCTCAACCTATTTCCAATGTTATCTGCTCCACCAATGACATACAATAACCTCTGGAATGACACAGCCGCAGCAAAATCAAGCCTCTCTGCCAGGGGTTTGATAGAAGACCATGTGTCCAGCAATGGATCATAGCATGAGCAGACACTCTCTCTCCAACGTCCACCAATGACATAAAGTCTACCTTGACAAGCACTTGAGGCAAAAGCACCGGGTTCCCGATATGCATGCATGTCTGTTAAGTTGCACCAACTGTTCTGGGATGGTAGGTAACACAATACTTTGTTACCATTTTCACCCCCAAAGGCAAATACCGCATCTTCAGGGGTGTTCAAACACTTTCTTGGTGAATGCTTCCAAAATTGTGCTCCTGTTTCATCTGACAGCTCTTTCATGGCATCTACAACCAAATCAAAACATTCTTTTTGGCCTCTGACAAGTTCATGTTGCAAAATAACCGTGGTAAGGAAACTGTGTGATACGTAATGACAACGAACGTGACGAAATAAGTCATAAAAGCTTACTTTTCTTTCAGTGTTATGTTCAGTCCAAATCAAAATAGCCATGAAAACTTCTTTCTCGCCTTTTATAACAATTTCATCACTTGAAATCCATTCTTCGACTTGCTCCAAATTCAAATTAAGAAAGTCATTGGATTTTGACACGGCCATAAAGTTGGCAAGAATGAAGCTTTTGGCTGCCTCTCGTAAATCAGAACATTGGTATTTAACGCTGGAATAATAAGCCATGATAGAGTTTGAAGCGCACAAAGTGTCTTGAATGAACTTACTGGAGAGTACTTTCAAGCTTGTTATAAGAAAGTAATCTGCTACAGCCATCAATTCGAATGCGTTATTGTCATTGATATCAACATATCCTGTGTACAAATATTCGAGAACTTCTTCCATCAAAGCTTTGCTTGTATCTTTCAATCTAATGACTCCTTCTTCCTTTTCTTTCATTTCCGTGTTGAGGGCGTTGTAAAAGAACGGGCTGGTGGCACATAACACGTTTCTGTGAGCTTTCAATCGAGCTTGACCTTCACCAACTTCTAGAATCACATCACACAAATGCTCGTTTCTTCGCTGGATATCGAGGCGTTTCATTATTTGCACGCAAAACTGTTGCGCATCAACCTCCGTGACTGGTTCAAGGAGGAACTCCATTGTTTAAATTCAATGATCTTCAATGTCACTGTGTTGTCCACGAGTTCAGTTTACAGTGCGTTTACCGTCCTTGTCTCCAGATCTCCTTTTTCTCGCGAGTTCTGGATCTTGATGCCACAAGTATTAACTGTTCGCAAAGAAAACACTAGTTATCAATAACAAGGGCTGGTGTACGAAGAACTTGTACACTCTTGCCGTGCATGAATTACCCCGGATGAGTTGTCGTGGAAACAACAACCCATCCCAGAGGGTTTCCCAGTGAAATTGGAGATTTTTCGAAAGCCAGTTGCGAAAATAGACTTGGTTGAGAGGCTAGGGGGAATAAAACAAAAGAAATCATCTTAAGGCTCAGCAACGAATAATACATTTCTTTTGTTTTATTCCCACTAGCCTCGGAGCCAAGCATGAATTATGACCTATTGCAAAAAATCGCAAGTCTGAGATTTTTCGTTTTTACGAATTTTCGCGCTACTTTGCGAAAATTACGAAAAATGACAAGTCTGACGATTTTTCGCCTTACTGTCGATTTTTCGAATTCGCAGTTCTTTGTCATGTTATTGATCACTAACTGGCGATTTTAATATACATGTTGACCATTCCACTGATATTGACGCTAGCTACTTCCTGGACCTACTTGAGTCTATTTTTCTCTTTGCTGTTTTGTTATTTATGTCTACTTGAGTCTGTTAGTCTTGAACAGCACGTTAATCAGCCTACCCACAAACGGGGTCACGCACTTGACCTTATCATCACCCGCAAGGTCAATGAGATCATTAGGTCACCACCGTATGTTTCTGATCATGGATCTGTTGTTTGTAGTATTTTGGCAAAAGTAACCGCAACGAGAGTCAGAACGGAACTTACTTACAGAAAATTAAGATCTGTTAAGTTGGACAGTCTCAAGAATAGCCTTACATCCTCTGGTCTATGCAGCGTTAACTGTGAGGAGCTACTTGTACCTAGAGATCCTGAGGTGCTTGTTAACCAATACAATTCTACCCTGTCTAGCGTCATTGACCAGCATGCGCCGCTGAAGACTAAAACTGTGAAAACTAGACCACAAGTTCCCTGGTACAGTGAGGAAATTGCATTGGCAAAGAGACGACGTCAAAAAGCTGAGAAAAAGCCTGCTGATCTGTTATTGTTCAACAAAATGAAATACAATGCTACCTTTATCATGAACAGGGCACGAAAAGAATTCTACGCAGATTTTATTAATGAAAATGGTACTGATCAAGGGAGGCTGTTCAGAGCGACAGAGAAGCTCTTAGCCCCAATTGATGACCTTTGTTTTTCTGAATACAATGACAACAGTTTGCTTGATAATGACATCGGCAGATTCTTTTTCCTGAAGACTGACAAAATCCGCAAAGATGTTGATGCCACTGATATCGAACCAAATGAACTTAAAGGATTGCTACCAGTAGATTCTGCAGTTGAGAACAAATTACTCCGCTTCCACCTGCTATCCCAAGAAGATGTCTTTCAACTCGTACAAAGGTCGGCTAAGAAAATGTGCCCACTCGACCCCATGCCTACATCGATGGTTGTAAACTGTCAAGATAAGCTTCTAGGGGCGGATCTAGGGGGAGGGTGCAGGGGGTGCGCACCCCCCCCCCCCCCCGAGTTGCCTCCGGGTTTTTTTTAAAAAATGGTTTTTTTACAAAAAAAAAAAAAAAAAGCCTGTTATAGTTTTTGTAAGAAGGAAAAAGAGAGAGAACACCCACCACACTCGCTCCCCCGTCCAATCCAAGAAGAGTTTTTTCAAACCGTAACAAGGCCGGTTAAAAAAAAGGCCCCCCCCCACCCCCAGCCTTACACGGTGTGTGTAAAATGTGAAAATAAGCTTCTAGGGGGGGGTGTGGGGGGGGGGGGGAGGGGGGGGCCCCCCCCCCCCCCCCTGAGATAACCTGGGGTTTTTTATAAAAACGGTAATTTGCAAAAAAAAAAAAAACTGTGCCGTTTATTGGTGTTGAAGTAGAGCAAGAGACGAGTGCACCCCCTCCTAAAAAAAATCCTGGATCCGTAACTCGTCTTTGTCTTCAGGTTATTTTTCACCTGGATGGAAGAATGCACTTGTTTGGCCATTCCGCAAGAAACCTGGCCATTACAACTCGTTTCAGAATTTAAGAACTGTCAGCAATCTTCAGCTCGTTTCAAAACGGAATGAGCGTACTGTCCATAATCAAATTCACAGTCACATGGAAGACATGGAACAGTTCTCGTTATATCCTTTATTGCAATCTGCAATAAGGACCAAAAGTTAGTTACATTGTTGGTTCTGCTTGATTTAAGCGCCGCATTTGATATTGTTGAACATGAAGTGTATGGAGTCTAGTTTCGGGGTATCTGGCACTGCTCTGCAATGGTTAGGATCCTGCCTTGAAGGCAGATCCCAAAGTATATTCATTAATGACAGTTACTCAGATAGCTTCGACGTGCATTTTGGTGTCCCACAAGGTACTTGCCTCTGACCTCTGCTCTTTACAATGTACGCCGGCAAGCTTTTTGAAGCGATTGAAACCCATCTTCCGGACGTACTTGCTTATACAGATGATACAGTTATACCTGTCATTTAACCCTGACTGGATGCTATTTATGATGTTCAGAATTGTATTAAGGAGATAAGAACTTGGATAACAGTAGATAAGTTGAAACTTAATGAGGACAAGACGGAATTCATTGTGATTGGTACACGTGCTCAACTGAACAAGGTAAAGATAAGCCAGTTTACAATCCGCAATGCAAGTGTTCCAACTTTTACTTCTGTCAGAAACCTTGGATCTTGGTTTGATAGCCACCTCAGTATGACAACGCACATTAACAAATCCTGTCAATCCGTGCTATTGCATTTGCTCAATATCAGACGTATATTAGAAAGTTCTTTTATTATTAAAATCGCAAAAATCGCAGATTTAGTTAGATCCCTTTCTACCTGCTTCAACACTTGAATTTAAATTTCGCGAATTCTCCAATTTTTCGCAAATTTTGCTGATGCGTGTAAACTTAGGCATTCTCGAAAATATGGCATGATTGCACTAAGGAACAAGGCGGTAGCCCATTCTAATCTTCCATCGACCATCGTTCGACAATGCAAAAGGCTGTCTCTGTCAAGAAAGATGGTTGAGATCCAGAAATTTTGCTAGCATGGTAACGCGGTGACGTCCCACTTCTCCTCTCTTATTCGTCCCTCAGTCGGGGACAGACTCTTTTAAAATGCCGAGTTCTATACTGTACTCTGGTGAGTCGCCTGAGAGAGAATATTCGGCGCAATCGACCTGAATTGGTGCAGGGATCGAAAGACACTTGAATCCATACAAGCTTGTCTTTTGGGCAAGAATCTTTCGCATATTGTTGCCCGGGGACACTTCTTTTTTTGGACAAGTAAACTTTTAGTTAAAAGTTACTTGCCTAGCAATAAAATCTCCTTGTCCCAGACTACTGTTGGGACGCTGGTAATATGTTGATTAAACAAGTTAACGCCCGTGCTCAAAGTGTGACTTGAAATCGCGGGAGTTTTTCGAGCTGCACCCAACCTACTCCTGGCTGAAATTTGCTCCTTGCAGCTTCTTTGTCTTCTACAAGATATACCGTAAAATTCCGAAAATAAGCCCTGGGGCTTATATTTTTGAAAGACCTTTTTTGAGGGGCTTATTTTTGGAGGGGCTTATATTCGGAGCGGCATATCTATGGAGGGAAATCTGCGTTTCCAAATCAATTGCGCTAGCTTTATAGTTGGAAGGAAATTTGCCGGTTTTGCTTTGTTTTACTTTGTATTTGAGGGCAATTTTCCAAGTACAAGCCCCCGGGGGGCTTATATTTGGAGGGGCGATTTAACGAAGGGTTTTTTGCGTTACCGGTTTAGGGAGCTTATATTTGGAGAGGCTTATACATGGAGGGGCTTATTTTCGGAATTTTACGATATTTCCATCTGAAGGGTCGGACGTTTTGGCTAATTAAAGAGTTGGAGGAATTTGAGGGGACGTTCTAAGCTACGTAGAAGCGCTGAGAGAGGCGAATTGCTGCTCATTGGACAACTGTGAAGGGGACGGTGCACAAATTTTCACAAAGGACATATAAAGAAGCTCTTAAAGAAAGAAGTTCCGTAACTTTTTGACCGCACTGTTCAGTAACAGCCGATTAGTTGATTTTATTATTTCATTACCTTGCAGATAAATACGAAGAGAGAAAAAAAGAAATTTGTCCCAAAGTTGAGAGGTCTAATTTTTGAACCTCTGCCACGAAACAGAAAGATATAGAAATTAGAGAACAATGAGCTAGACACCTTCAAACGGAAGACCACTTCTGTATATCAGTTTTTTTTCAAAGCGTCAAGTTTCATTTGAACGATTACATAACAGATTGTCTCTGCATTGGAATGTTTGTTTCCGCGAAACACGGAAAACGCCCTTTCGTATAATAGACCTTTCAAGCTTGTATGTTTTGTTTTCCCAAGTCAGGTCATGTGATATTTCGTCTTATTCACCTGCACATGAACGCATGATTTATAAAAAGACAAAAGGTTACGTTCCGCTGGGACCTCTAATGAAAAGCAAGACATAGAAGCTAAAGAGGTCTATTAGGGCCTGTTTACATGGAGGTGAGGGACTCCAGGTAGGTGAGGTAACCCGCCAGTCCATACAATCTCTCATTTTAATGTGATCACGTTTACATGTTAGGTGGGGTAACCCGCCACATGTTACCTCACCTACCTGGGGTCCCCCACCTTCATGTAAACAGGCCCTTGAACGAGCTACGCTCGACGATCTGAAAACATTGATGGCATTGGTGATTGCTCACCAAAAAAAATCAAATAAATAAATAATAACCGAAACAACAGAAACACATAATGACTATATACAAATTTTATTGAAGGTCTTGAAGGATAATTTAGTCTTTAAGAATCTGCCTCAAGCATAAGTTAAGGTAGCCTTCTTCTTCTCAAAACGAGAAAAGGAGAAACCAAAGCTCCTGGAAGAGACCTGAAGGGTGGTGCTGGCAAGAAAATAGCGCAGAATATACGGAATGACGGTTACCGCAATTTCCCTCTTACACCGACACGCAAGGCAAACGTGACGCGCTGTTCAATTTTCGTAACTGACCGTTATCAAGTGCAAACGATCGTATGTGTTTAGGTCTATAGGGTAGGTTAATTAATCGCCTAGTATAAAAGAGAAGCAAACTAGAGAGGAGTTCAGTTGGACGCCCTCTCCAGCCCTTCAGAGTTCCCTGCAGAAGAGGCTATACATGAACTTGGTATGCTTGAGCCTGTCGTAAGGTATTAAGACTTCGGAGCTGAAGAAGGTAATTGCCGAAGTCAGTAATCGATAATTACTCGGGAAACTAGTACGAAAATCGCTCGTAGCTTGAAGGAACCAAATATAGGAACAAAATACAGTTGGAAACTTCTTTAAAAATGGCATTCATTTGTTTGCTCTGAAGACGGGTTTAAGCTGCATTTCAATCCTAGCTTTTTTTCTTAGTTTTCCCACTTACAGTCTTATCAAAGACCAAATAAATAATTACATATACATCAAAACACTTACCACAAAGAACTTTTAAAATAAAAATCTGATGCATTAGATAGTTTTCTTGGTATAAAAGGAATACGCCATCAACTCTATTTTACAATGTACTGAAAACATATTACTTTAAGGTCTTTCTGCGCAGTTGTGAATTATATGTATTACTTTGTATTAGCTCTAATCTACACTGATACCTGACCATCGCTAAACATTCCCGAAACTCAACCACAGAAGAATTCGCTTGCACTCAGAAAAAGTTGGCAAAGATAGGTGGAAAGCGGAGAACGGATATATAACTTAAAAAAAATGTACTGTGGAGTAAAACGAAGAACACAAACGAGAGGGGCATGGTTCAGTATGAGTGCAAAACACTTTCAATCTAGTAACGTGGTTGAAAACAGCCGTGAATGGTGTTGGTTCCTAGAAGGCCGATTTATAGCACTATTCTCAATTAAAATTCTAATCCACGATTTTCTCTCTTCCTTTCGATTATTCAGGGTATTATTTTGTGTAGTCATATCTGGATTTCGGAGATAAGATTGGCCTGTGTTTTGTAAGGTCCAGATACATGTTCCAAGCATAGTTATTAGAGGAGACTGGTTACGAAAAGCGGCAAACATCAATGATAAAAACAACAGTGCACGTCAAATACAACCTTCGTGGGACTTTCACGTGTTAGGAAACAAAAGACAACCGTTTAACAATGCCTTATTTAATTACGTTGAAAATTATTGGTCAATACAATCAAAATGATAGGAATTCTTTTGAACGTATAACATAAGAAAAAAAAAAAGAAAAAAAAAACATATAACAAAGGAGTCTGACGGGTTTCATAACCATTCCACTCAATTAACTATGTTCCAAGTAAAGAAACTTTGCTTAAAATTTGGCTTAACCTGGGTAAACTTTTGTCATCTTTCGGGACAAGATAAGATAAAATTTGCGATGTACCCAACGCCTGTCTTTGCCAACTTAACCCACGTGCTATGCCTAACTGCGGAAAAGCAACGGTGAAAAATCAGTGCGAAAAATTCCACGAAACACGTGTACGGGTTTCTTCAACACTAAGTTATTATTATCGGGTCGAACCACATTTTCCGATGCCAATGAAACAGCAATCGGTTGTCAAAAGTGTGACACCAGTAACAGGAAACAAATATTCCGTTAAAAGTAGGCGGTAATTAGTTTCGCCCTTTTTTAGTTAGCGTTTTTTTTTGTGCAGAGCACATTCGGACCATTTAGTCAAGTGATCCTTGTGCTTGTGGACATTCACGTGATCTAAGACGCCCATCCGCGTGAACTCGGAATTACGAGCACGTGGTGTGCACGTTTTATGCACACCGTCTTAGAAGTGCCCCGCAAAGCGTTATTCAGAAAGCAAAGCACGCGATAAAACACCTCTATCACGTTTGTAACTCTCAAATCTCCCTCAGGGGTCCAGTGACATCAAAAGGTCGGACTCTTGTTCAGTCATCATCAATGACTATAGGTTCAACAGCATCCATTTGTGGTGGTTGGGGCATGGCATAAATTAGAGCACGAAGATTGACACTACACTTGACCTCTTTCCATGGCCTCCGAGCTACTCTCCTTTGAGTCTCAACTGACAATGCCCTGCGGGCTTTCCTGTGAAAAAAGAAATAACAGAGAAAGGGTAAATGCTATGACAACAGGGACGCCATTCTCCTATTTGCAACAACCCTGAGAGTAGTAGAGCAGGCGTTTCCTCAACCCCTACCCCACTCCTTGCTGGTTTTTTCCCGTTAACATCTTTTTGCGCTGTTGTCACAATCTGAACGCCTAAAATAAGGCTAATCGATAAGCAGAAGAAAATCTCTTGAAGGTAACGTAGGTGGACCGATCGCGACGGCAAAGTAATGAAATAGTTAACAAAATCGTAGAATAAGACATGAATACTTTATTTTACAAACTTCCTCGCTATAACATTTCTCTAAAAACAGTAATAATGCCAACTTACTTACCTCGAATGCTTGTTCGACAAGAATTGGAACTCCTCGGGGGGATCAATAAACTGTGGATGGACACCGCCTTTGGTCATAACATGCTTCACTGACGGAGCTGGCTTGTTATGAACGACTGGTTTGGTATTCTGACTTACAATCACTTTGTTTGGCACAGCATTACCAGCCGCATTTGCAGTCACCCCACCCTCTACCTTGATGGCAGGTGCAGGTGCAGGTGCAGCAGTAGGGGGTTTGGGGAGCAGGTAGGGCTTGTTTCCCGCGCTTTGGGCAGCATAGTTGGGCACAGCTCGTTCTACATGGAGCTGGCCGTTAATGTATGACGTCACTGAGTGTTGGGCGTAAGGCACGATCTTGGTAGATCCGGGACCTAGAGCTGGACTGACGTCACAGTATGCCGGGTATGACCGCTGTTTTGGTGGCTCGGTGGACGTGTGCATTGTTTGTTCATGGTGTATTAGACTTGCTATAAACAAATTATGAAAGAAAGAAAGAGTAAACATTTCAGTTCTGGTTCATTAACAACGTAAGAACTTGGCATTCATGAAAATGTTGTTTTTCGTTTTCTTGAAGGGGATGGTTAGATATCAGAAATATCACTCGTTGAGTCAGTAAAGACAGAATCTCATCTGCTGGCAATCTCAGTCTTTTTCCTCCAGTGCTCGCTAAAATTAGCCTACGCGATCAGCAGGTTAAAAGTATCGTAAAAATGAAAGAGTTTCTGGAAAAGTTGCAGTTTTCTGTAGATGCATTCTCCTTCTAAACTAGGAAACACTTCAAAAACACTTACGCAAATTCCATATATAGTATGAATAAACAAATCTCTCCAGTCCCCCATCCTCTGGAGAAACATAAGAGACTCACCCTGATTGTGAAGAATCTTGCCGCAATACGTGCACTCGCAGCCTTTCTTTCCTAAAGGGGAAGTTGCGCTGAGCCTCTTTGGTGAAGGGCCTGCAGAAATAAACAGACCAGATTTGGTTGACTTTGGGATTGCTTTGGTTTACATTGTTAAGGATACGTTACTTCTAATAAACTCGCCTAGCTTTGCCAAATTTACAAGCATTTTCCCGCGCTGCGCGTCGGCTACAGTATCTGCGTTGATTGTCATCTTCTTATTATCCTTTAAAGCGGTTATTTTTAATGAAGGAGGTAAAGGCCTTTCCTGATCGCAAAATAATAAAACTCCTAACATTTGATTACTTGTTTCCGTCACTACGACATTAGGGAGCTTAAGCAAAACGACTGCGACAGCTACGAAAACGTCACTTATAAAGTGAAGCCGCACTGCTTCAAACTTGATCGCGCTTATTCCATGTCATTCAATTCGACAAATGTTGGCAATATTTCCTGGACTTGAGTTCTAAAAGACTGTATCGAAGTTCAGGAAGAGAAAGCAAAAGTCGTTGTCTTGATTTCACGACCTCCATAAAACGCAAAATTCGGCATTTTCACGTCGTAGTCGTGCAGTGACGGCAAAAATGCGTGATGCATGTGCAGGGTTGGTGTTTTGCCAATCTAACCTATTGTTTGCCGTTCTCGTTAACGTCGCCGTCGTCGTCGGAACAAAGCGTTGTACTGTTGGAACAATGTTGCAGCTATTCAAACCAATGTTGCAACGTTGCGTTGCGCTAATAATAGTCGTTGCGAATCATCCCGTATAACATCACTTTTAAGCTCCCTAATCTCGCTTAACGTGCTCGAAGTAGAATGACAACGGCTACCACGTTTTCCCGCTAAAATGACGCTGATTCACTACTTAGTATTGATAAAACCTTGCCCTCGTAGTCATCCTCGTCTTGTAACCTAATGATCTCTAGTATCTTACCGTCAATTCCATTCTGTTGTACTTGGCCGCCATCGTGAGATCTCTTCCGAGACATCATGTGGTTACTGGTTTGTGTAGGAAGCGGTTGGTTTTGAACAACAGGTTTAGCTGAGGGTATAGCCGCATATTTCCAGTCACTCGCCTTGGGTGGGGTCGGCTGAATCGGCACATAACTTTTGGAAGGGGGAATCATTTTCCGGGAGGGGGAGGTGATTGAATGTCCTGTAGGGGTGGGTGGTGAGGGTGCGGTTGGCGATTGTTCCTTAGGGATGGGTAGGAGCGTTGGCTTTGGCGGTCTTGGTTTGCGCGGTTTAGGAGGATTTGCTTTGATTTTGTCCACGACATCGTGGATTTTTCGCGTTTTCATCTGCTTTTTGGCCTTGATTATGGCGTCTGCTTTGGGTGTCTCAAGTCTCTTTAAACCTGAAAAGAAAACCTTGATTTGAGTACAACAGAGAATACAAGATAGATAACAGTTGACTTTCTCTAAGGAGGAAACAGCTGAAATCGGCACTTGTCCCTCTTGAAGAGGTATCCCGCCCTCGTTCCCAGGCTTATTTATATTTTCTAAGGGAAAAAGCCCTGGAAACGAGGTTGAAGGTATCCACCTTATAAAGAGTCAAAGAAAATGACTTGAGAAAGAGACTAATTCTAAGTTTCCGTTGGATAGAGATTACTGCTTAGAGAGAATTACCCCTACATATGTTCCCTTGACGAGAGTAGGAGCTAACAGTTACAGAGCTTCATTGGTTTGTTTAACGCTAACTGGATCAAGCCCGTCAGATCATGCTCTCAGCGCGAGCAGGTAGGAGGCAGGTAAACCAGGGATGCTTAAATACAACAATCTCATACTTTTATGATCTGAAACTGCAGCGATTACAAAATTTATAGTTATGAGTCAAATTAATACACATACATTGGGATCTGATTTCCTGTGTGTTTAATGCCCCTCCGGGCACTCGACAGTGATGCACCTTATTATACAGTTCCTGACAGAGCCGCCGAGCAAGTCTGGTCAGCGGTGTGGCTTTCATATAGAATGGTGACCTGGGTTTTAGTTTGCGTGGGCTGGGTGGCCTGTACCCATGCACAGCTGTTAGATGCCGAGTGAGGTTTGGACGCGAATTAAACACCTGCAATAAAAATTAAAAGCAGGTTAAAGGAACCTACATCTTAACTCTTTGCTTCCATAAAAATACTTGTTGCTTGCTTCCCTATGAAATGTCATTTAAATGGAGTATTAGAATACGCACATAACATAAGGCACAACTACTAAAATACTCGTTCTATGCTAAAAAAAAAACTTTCTATGTAAACCCCCACACTGACCTTGTCACACTGTGACACTGCACATTTGTACATTTTGTGAATTGACATGTGGCTGGAGAGACGCTCTGCAGATAAGAAAAATGTCAAAAATGAAGTTATTTTCTTGTAGAAGGACTATTCTCAGTAATTCCCAACGATTGTCACACACTGAATGGCATTTGTCCGACAAATGACAAAGCAACAGCACTTTATTAATAAATCTATCAAACACCACAACAATTAATAGAAAAGGAGATTTCATTTGCGCAATGCAATTCACTTTTACCAAAATGCAGAACAATCATAGTTTCAATTTCTCCTAGGTATTATAATTGTATTAAGAGAAATTGAACATAATGCTTATGCAGAAATTTAGTGAACGATGAAATGGTATTATGGACAATGTTAAAATACGAAAAATAAAGAAAACCTAACCCACACGAAAAAAAAAAAAAAAAGTGTTTCCCCTAAATACCCTTCAGTCAATTTTTTTGGACTGGATAAGGTTCAAGACATTAAGAATGCTGTCACCAAAAACAATAAATAAATCATGCGACAAGTGTAAAAACTGATATCCTGTCTTGTACCCACATCCTCAGTGCAAGACAACTTTATTTCATGCCTAATAGACCTATTTGGCTAACTCAATGTTGTACCCAATTCAAACCCTTTGGGAATAAAACGTTTTGTTTCAGGAATTTCCATATCATTTAAATGTAAAGGCCACATTATAATGCAAATACAGTACACAAAGAATCTTATCCCCGGGAGATTTGAATTGGGTACAACATTGAGTTAGTTGAATAGGTCTATTGCAAGCTCAGTCAGGATTCAGTATTGAGAATGCTAACATTTCTTTTTCCCAGCCGTGTCGGTCTTAGAGTAAAGCTTACTCTGCGATAACAAAAGGAAATCTTAACAAATACAGAAATAAGTGGACCACGCTGTGCATTTCTGATTAGTGTTGGATTTATAGTAATTTAGCAAACATTTTTCTATTTGTTCTGCTTGTTGTCGTTAATCTTTTGAACCTTCGTATTTCGCTTTATTTTGTTTGTTTGTTTACTTATTTATTTATTTTACTGTTTCACCTCCTTTTTATTTGCTGCCCTGTTATTGTAAAGTTTATTGTAATGTTATGTTAAACGATGTTTAATAAATAAATTATTTAAAAAATAATTTTAAAAAAAGCTAACTGTGAAGCATCTATTTCACAAACCTGCTCTGTTAAACACTTTGCCACACACTCTACATGTATATCTTGTTTCCAGTCCGCCTCCATGACCCTTTCCAGATAAACCATCTAAAAAAAGAAAAAGAGATTTTTAATTAATCAGTTATGTAAGCATACCGAATGAGTGTAGTGTGTTAAATTTATTGGAAAGCTGTCATTTTATTTTAGAGCTGCACTGTTCCCCAAGGTTCTGTCCTTGGACTTTGTATATATAAAAATAAGCATGTAACAAAAACTAGATTGTTTATCCAAAGTGCTGTAAATAATTTATTACAATGAATATTATCCATCCAATCTATAGGTCACACTTTCATCAGCAACTAATACAAAAATTATTGATACAAACTAGACATAAAAACGAATGACTAGAGTGCATCTAGGCTTGTATTCATTCATTTAATCAATCACTTTTTTTTGTGCCTGTCTGGACTAACGTACTTAAGCTAATCATGGACGACAAGCATTGTCATGTGTAATTTAAGTTTGAATAATTATTGTTTTTGATGATGTGGTTACTATCTCGCTTTGTTGAACGAGTTTAATATGCTTACCTGGTCTTTTTAATCCACCATATTTCTTCCAGTAAATCCAGCACAGTGTACAAAGCCAGAACTTATGCTGAGAGTTTGGTACACCCCAGGGATACCATTGCTGGGATGAGGTTCCTGTGCACACCACAAGTGCAAAAAATGAATATAATAGATAAACCATCAAAAAGTGCCAGATAAAACAAACTTTGCTAGGTGTTCATGGGTGTGGCATGTCTGTAAGGTTCCAAGTGAGGTTTAAACCTTAAAATTCACTTATTTAACTTGTTTCACTTATTTTCCTACTAGAGCCGGGACCACCATTTTACGTGGTCATCCGAGCCACGCGAAGGTCTAGCCATTTGCAGGGCAAAGGAAGTACATTCATTTCTCAGTTATTTTAAGACCCTGAGTATTGGTCCGACCCTGGGAATTGAACCTGCAACCTCCCGCTCTGCANAACCTTAAAATTCACTTATTTAACTTGTTTCACTTATTTTCCTACTGGAGCCGGGACCACCATTTTACGTGGTCATCCGAGCCACGCGAAGGTCTAGCCATTTGCAGGGCAAAGGAAGTACATTCATTTCTCAGTTATTTTAAGACCCTGAGTATTGGTCCGACCCTGGGAATTGAACCTGCAACCTCCCGCTCTGCAGTCAAGCGCTCTACTGACTGAGCTAATCCTGCCACGTATTTAAGAGAGCAGAATTTAAGTAAAAACAATTTATAACATACTTAACATTAAATGAGACAGTTGACTAATGGGACCATGAGCATTTAAGTTATTCTGTTTGTTGTCATATTTTTATTTGACTTGTCATACTGCCTGAATAAGCCTTTTTTACAAATATAGATAATACACGTCCCCAGAATCTTACCCTTGTAATAAATGGTCCATAATTTGAAAGGCACTGAAATCTCTCTATAATTCATCTGATTTGGAATAATGATTGCAAAATATGCACTGTTGAAATAGTATCCAGGGGTTTCAATGAAAACTTGAAGTAGCCAGCAGGTTTGAATAGAGTAACGAACGTATGAACAAAGCGCCATTGGTCCCCTTTTTCTAGGGAGGGTGAGGAGGGGGTTTGTGCGTGTTCTGCCCTAGACATTTTTTAAAATTCAAAGTCCCAAAATGCGATTTCCAGCGTTCTGGGGACTAAATTTAAAGACAAAAGAGTGTGTTTTTCATTCAAGAGAATGTAGCTTTCAATAATATTTATCAGTCACACAATCAGTTCCTACAAGCAATGAACAAATGAAAACTAAATGACGTGCTTTAGCTCGTAAACTAATTCTGCGTAAATCTATAGAGAAACTTATGAGAAATGGCTGAAATATAGCATTCACGTGACTCAATCAAGGGAAAACCAGTGGGCCATCATGAAAACACATTACATTCAGATTTTATGATAAATTTTTTATAATAAATTTTTTGTTTACAACGTTATTCAAAAATTTGTTATGATAAATTTTGTTATTCAAACTAGTTGCTTCTTCTTTCTTGACAAAAAGTAGCTGATCTCTGTCAGCGAAAAAGCTGACGCGTTTCGTCGGCCGTTGGTGCTTATTGAAACCCCTCGTATCTTTGTACGAAGACCACTATTCTTGAAACTATTGCAACAGTATTTCAGCCATCCTAATACTACTGCAAAAGAAATAAAATGACTTCACTGGTCACCTCTACATACCATAGCAGCTCTCACACGAGACACCCACAAGATTGCTGGCCACACCTGGCGGAGGTGTCAATATTATAGTTGATGTTTGTTTTTTTCCTGATTGAGTCGTACTACCACCCCTAGACAAGAACAAAATAAAACGAAAAAGAACAACATAAGCAAGGGAAAAATTGGGAAACTGAACATTTTTACCGCTTACTAAAAGTCAGACATTTCCTGTGTTTTAAATGTTACTGCATATGAATTACCTTAACATATAATTTCATAATTAATAGACTTCTTATTAAATTCCAATCTACACAACGTCATCATTTTTGAACAAACAAATAAAAAAATAAAAAACGAACAAAATCTCAGAGACCTGGTTTGACCACTGTTACTGACAATAATTATTTTGTAAAGTAAATTTTCAGTTCCTCTAGCTTTAAAAAAAAACAGATTACACAGTGTTCTAAAAAAGCCTCTGGGTCAAACCAATCTTCATGTGAAAGGGTTATTTAAGCTCTAAAAATATGCTTCTGGTCTCACTGGTGTCTTGTCTGAGTAAGGATTGTTTATTTTGTATTTGAAAGTAATTCCATATATACATGTGTGCAGGCTTGAACACTTGGGAAGGGCAGATAAGACAGTCATGTGTGTCTTGAATTTAGGTGGTTTTAAAAAAGTTACATTGTGATCAAGAATACAATAATAACTTACAGTCCAGGAATGTATATCTGTGTTAAATTACATTCCTTGGAGACAGCCTTGAGTCGTTTCTGAAAAATACAAAAATAATAACATATCATTCAAATGGTACTTTTGAAACAATGATATAAACATGTCTACTAGTAAATAATGTATATTATTTTAGCTGGAACAATGATAATATACTAACCCTGTCTTTATTTTTTTTACAACAATAGTTGGTTTGCACACGACATCTTGGTGGCCATGTTAGTGGTCAAGAATCAAAGCCTTTCTCTCCTCTGGGAACTAAGCTTTATTGTCATGTAAATTCTTCGACAAATTTTGACACCCAACATGGATGCCTTGTTACAAGGTTGCAAACCAAGAATAGTTCTTGAAAGAATTCAATCGGTTACTGTGTGTACAAACACTCTGTCTTAATATCACTGTAATACATTGAAATAACCATGCCTTTCTTCATGTTAAATTTAGAGAAAATGCAAAGACATAAACCAGGAAGTTTTTAAATCATTAAAAATAACCTCAGTAACAAAGCAGACGATTGTCTGTTAAAAACATCCCACATCAGCATGGNGGCAGATAAGACAGTCATGTGTGTCTTGAATTTAGGTGGTTTTAAAAAAGTTACATTGTGATCAAGAATACAATAATAACTTACAGTCCAGGAATGTATATCTGTGTTAAATTACATTCCTTGGAGACAGCTTTGAGTCGTTTCTGAAAATACAAAAATAATAACATATCATTCAAATGGTACTTTTGAAACAATGATATAAACATGTCTACCAGTAAATAATGTATATTATTTTAGCTGGAACAATGATAATATACTAACCCTGTCTTTATTTTTTTACAACAATTATAGTTGGTTTGCACACGACATCTTGGTGGCCATGTTAGTGGTCAAGAATCAAAGCCTTTCTCTCCTCTGGGAACTAAGCTGTATTGTCATGTAAATTCTTTGACAAATTTTGACACCCAACATGGATGCCTTGTTACATGGTTGCAAACCAAGAATAGTTCTCAAAAGAATTCAATCAGTTACTGTGTGTACAAACACTCTGTCTTAATATCACTGTTATACATTGAAATAACCATGCCTTTCTTCATGTTAAATTTAGAGAAAATGCAAACACATAAACCAGGAAGTTTTTAAATCATTAAAAATAACCTCAGTAACAAAGCAGACGATTGTCTGTTAAAAACATCCCATATCAGCATGGTAACATAAAGGTCAAGATAACTTCCAAATACATTTAAGTATTATTACTTTTGTTCAAGTTCCCTGCATACCTGGTGCAGATATCTGTCTGTGGTTTTCCACATGTAATAATACTCAACTATACTTGGTAGACTCTTCCATGGAAGCTAAAATAAACAAAATAAAACCTTGGTTTAGTGTAAAACCTAACTTGCTTGGCAACTCTCTGCAGCCTAGTGCGACTACTTTCTAGAGCTTGTCAGTTTGAAATCTGTCAGGGACTCAATTTTTTGACCATGATGGCAAAACCAAGATTTTTATGCAAGATTAACAGTTTTTGTCTTTTAATGATACACCATTGAGTAGTCCAAGGTATATAGAGAACTGCTCATCAACTGAAAAGGCTGAGCCAGTGAAAAGTTTTTTCTGAGACCTACATATTTTTTACCCTAATTCATAGAGTAAAGTAAATAGCCATAACTACTGTGGGTGTTATGACAATGAATAATGACTCAGCAAAGAATGTAATTTGAAATCTCTAAAAACTGAAACATTTATCATAAAATTAATTTACCCTAATTCACAGAGTAAAGTAAATAGCCATAACTACCATGGGTGTTATGACAATGAATAATAACTCAGCAAAGAATGTAATTTGAAATCTCTAAAAACTGAAACATTCATCATAAAATTAATAATCTACATAAGGAGCTACTCACAAAGTCTTTTTGAATATCTGAAAAATCTTTTCCATACTTTTGAAGGGCTTCTTCAAACAAGTTTGCCTCTCCTAAAATAGCACAAAATGATAAACAAATGGTTCTTTTACTCATTAATGCTAAATGATATATATCTAAATGTCAAGTTTTTATGTGAAATTAAGATTATTCACATGTCATGGAAGTCAAGCAACTGCAGAGATATGTACACATGATACACATGCTTTGCTTTCTTTCCTGCTCTGGTTGCAGTCTCCATCGTCATTGCTTATGTTTGCTAAGAATGGTTCACTGAATTCTCCATAATTTATGAGGGTGGAATTTATAAACACAACGAGTCCCTTCAATTTCCAATGGGCTCAGACAATCCGGACTGAGAGTTCTACACAGAGATTTATCCTACTAGAGAAACACCTTAACCTCACCACATCAATACAAACTGAATGTCACCAGTAACCAACCTGCAGACCACTCTTCCATCTCATCCCGGCACAGAACAGGTCCACCGGCAGGAACAAGATTAGCTATTGCCTTGCCAATGTTGTAACCATTATTGTGGAGTATAAACATGCCATGAGCCTAAAAAATATTTGTCAATTGATCTTTAAAATGATAACCAAAATATTCAAAGTATAGCAGAACCTCGATATAATGAGGGGCCAAGGGACTGGCAAAAATTGTTCGCAATAACAAGGTTTTGTTATATCAAGGCTCTTTTTTATAAACTTTACTATTACTTGGGTAAAGAAAATCATTCATTACACCATGGACTTCTTCATATAGACAGTCGTTACATGTACATTGCGGTTCCACTGTACAATAGAATCCCAATCCTGAAACCACAATTTGGCCAAAGATTTGAAAAAATCAGAATTCCACTTTAATTCAGTTTTTAACTTGTGAATTACACGTAGCATAAGGAATGAGTTATTGTGGGCACCTCCAACATGGTGGCCAAAACTTCTTTTTGCTTGTATCTTGTTAAACATTTGAGTTACTCTGAGATGTGTTGTAAACGTTACCACATCATCTTTTCAATATTTTTCCTTGAAGTTTAGGAGCAATATTTAAGTTCAGAAAGAGGTAATTCATAATTTTAAAAATCAGGATTTGGTTACATGACCAGCTACAAGCTTACTCAAAACCAAATCACTATTATTTTGCTTAAAATGTTACCACTAATCGCTTTTTGAAGGTAAAATAATATAACTTTCATTTTCATAAAAACAATGTCATATGACCTCTTGGTGCAAATGGCCTATTAAGATCCACACCATTAACCCTTTTGAAAAAATTTTTCCTGAGGTAGAAAGAGATTAAATGACAAGTAATCAAGAACATCTGATATATCTTTAACAACAGACCATTTTACAGTTGTAAGCTTAGAATCCCAGCCTTTCAGTGAATGTGAGCCTGAGGCTGACCTTGTTTTGATACAAACCTCTTTCCTTTTCTTATGGAAATTATGCTCAAAAATACCAGTTTGAATAAGAAAAACATGATTTACATAATAAAGCAGGAAGGATTGTATCAAAACAACGTCAACTCCAGCTTCGTTTCCACCTGTAACTGTAACATGGCCTATATTCAACCTTTGAAGTTTAATAGTTCACTAAGGATAATGGAAAAAGTCACTCACCAAAGTAATATCCCTTGAAGCTGCTGCAGCACTCATATGAAGGCTAGGCTGTTTAACTGAGCTGCTGCAGTCAAGTGCTCTTGCAAATGTTCCAACGGATCTATAACAAACAAATAACCAGTACACACTGTAGGTGGTTTACAAGGATAAGTAAAAGACATTTTTAGTCAAAGAGGTCCAGATCAACAAGGACTCCATTTACACTAACTCTGCTAAATTGGATGCTCCTGGATAAATATTGATTTTTTAAAAAAGAGTTCATCCTACTCTTTCAAACGTTGGATGCAAGTACATGTAGGTGTATTTCCTTGCCCAAAGCCACTAGCTAGTCTGTCATTAAAATACGTTTTGGAAGGGTAAGTGAAGCAATGAAAAAGTGTTCATATTCCAAGGGAGTAACTTAATTAGCCCCAGGACACCAAGCGGTTACGCCAGCTGGGCATTGACTGACATCACGTTGTAATCGGATCAAATGTGTCTTGCTTAGTCTTTCAAGTAGCTGTTTTCTTTATTTCCCTCCCTCCCACTCTGGGAGCTTCTGTCAAGTCCTCAGAGGTCGGCCTACGTTTGCTCATTAAAGATATCCGAACAGATTCACTGGCTTGTTGTCTGTTGAGGTGTGCAGGGACACTGCACTCCAGAGAAAAGTCAAAGACAAGCTGTACAGCTTGCTAAAATAATAATTTTTATTATGAACCTCAGAAGCCTAGAAGGGGCTGGGTTACCACGGGAGCCTTGTTGACCAATAATATTTAATTCTCAAGGACTGGTCCTTGAAAATGTCAAAGGTGAGCACTGGATTTTTAATTATTATTATTATACCTTGCTATTACGAGGAACTGGTCAATGTGTTGATCTTGTAGAGGATTGTTTGGATCCCACACTAATGTCTCAAGCTTTGAAAGATCCCTGTCATCTTGTAACCCTATAAAGAGCACAAGCTTCTTTAAATAGCTCATCACCAAAAAATCTTGAAGTACAATCAGCAATAATGAGGGGCCAAAGGGGATCCTATGTAATTTTTTTCATTGATACTTAACATATTTACTGGAAATTAAACAAGAATGTTCTGTCCCAGAATTGCTGTTGTAGTTTTATCTTATGTAGTAGCTGTTGCTGCTTCTAGTTAGGATCATGTCACATAGCCTCATTACGGTAAAGTGTAGTTTCATGTCTGAAGACAAGATTTAATCATGAAAAAATTAAATTTTTAAAAAGAAAGTCCTTGACAAAACCTTAGCAAGCTCCTGCAAGTGTTTGTTTAAATTTTGAGTTTACATTGTATTATAAATTGATAAATGATTTAAAAAACTCTTAGTCTCCAACAATAAAAATTACCTTTTATAGCAGTTTTGGGCACATGAGCCTGATATGCCGTCCCAATTCCCATTTCACCTCTGTCTGCAACTAAGGTTTTTTGTTGTGGATCATAAACCAGGAAGTAGTGGAACCAGTCCTATGTAAAAAAAAACAAGATAAGTGTTGTCTAGTTATCTCATGCTTTGAGCATGGTATACTTTATATATAATTATCTGGCCCCAGTTGTTCAAAGGGTGAATAACACTATCCATGCAAGTGATTTCCCTTACCTTTATCCACTGGATAGTGATCGAAAAAATCTTGCGGATGGTGCTATCCAGGGTTTGAACAACTGGGGGAATGTAGTTTTAAAAGCCTTTGGGAAGAAATCAGGGAGGAGGGAATTTATTAAATATGTTAATATAAAAACAAGAATTACTTTTGATTACAGAATCCTGGAGTAAGATGTAGTAAGACTTTTTTCTTCCAGTTAAACCTGTATTAAGCAGTCACCATTGGCAAATGGCCAACTGATCGCTTTGCGGTTGACCGTTTAATATGTACAGGTTTGACAAACCAAAGAGTCCCTCAAGAAAATGATCCCAAAGTGTTTCTACTGATTCTTGTACCAAAAGAAAGGAAATAAAAGACCACTAAACACTTAATGTAGACTTTAGTTCTTACATTACTAGTTATGTACATCTTGACCGAGTCACCACTTTATAGAGGTGAGGACCATAAAAAATTACTTGCTGGGACCTTGGAAAAGATAACCAGGGCCACATAAAGGAGATGAGGGCTTATATACAAGTAAGTTCTACTAACAATATTTAAGGAAAATGATTTTAGGGACTTTGATAAATGAGCGCTTTAAAAAGGTTGAATGCTTGAAATACAGCCGGTTTGACTGTATTTTATTCCTTCTCTAATATATAAAAAACACAAAAACACAACAACACAACCTCGTACTTTTCCCTAAAGTACTGACAGAGGTTTTGTCAACTCATGACTCAATTAAACTATTAACAAACCTCTTTTTCTAAATACTTTGGTAAAACTTCTGCTTCATTGTAGAGCGTGACCAAACATTTCCCTCTGAAAGGAAATGAAATAAATTAACCTGGCTCACTTTGGAATTTCTTTGGAACAACTTTAATGGGAACAATGAACTTTTAAAGCGCTAAAGCTAATGCACAAGTTATATACCTCATTGGTACTTAATTTTGCAGGTAATTACAGTTGTAATTTCGCATTTTGGCGAAAGAGTATTTTGCGGGGTTTTATTTTCACAATTTTAACAAGTTAACATGAAAAAAAGGGCATTAAGTTTTGCAATTTAAACGCTCTCAACTTCATTTTCTTTTTTTAAGAAGTCTGAACCTTTAAGAAAATTAGATTTATAACTGGAACAAGCAATATGTGAGATCTTTGGAAACTAACATCATTTCATGGCAAAAGATACAAAATGGAGCTTACCAGTAAAACCAGAAAGCAATTTGTGTTTGTCAATACATATCGTTGCTATTACATGCCAATTGTCATTTTAATTTTCTACATGGGTATTTAATTTCGCCAGCTTTTAATTTCAAAAGGATTTATCTTTGCGGGGCTTTTAATTTTGCTATTTTTTTACAATCGCAAAAAACACGAAATTAAAGACCAGCGAAATTAAGTACCAGTAAGGTAACCATTATTAGAGATTTGTCCATATTTTGCCTAAAACCGTTTTAACCCTTTATGGCCCAATATTCTCCAGACTGATCTACATACATTTCCTGAATGAATTAGTTGAGATAATTAAATAAAAGGTCAAAGCATTGATAATGTTCTGATCCTGTCAGGAGAAAATTGACATAGGTCACTCTTGGGACCTAAGCATGGCTAATCAAGTTCTGATTTTCCACATTAATACGATTACTTTTATCAGTTTTGGTGGACAAAATCTGAATTAAATTTGAATCAAGTTTGGTATCTGTTTTCACTGCTGCTCCCTTAACAAAACTCATGGCTTCCAAAAATCAGTCACTTTGGAAAACTAGCTGACTATGTCTTTTAAAGTAAGGTGAAGGGATTTCACCTTGGACACCTAGATCAGAGAAAAGGTGGTTGTCCAAAGAGGAACCAAGATCAAAAGTTAATTTTAGACCCTGGACTAGTAACTTACAGCTAAGTTAGTAATCTCCAAAAAAATGCTTACGAATTTTTAACCAACTTCTTTTCTACCTAGTGAATTCAATAACGGGCACTTCTCCCTGTAAATCATCAAATTTGATTAACTAAAATATTACCTTATAGTATTCGCGTTGATGTTTTCATATTGCCGTGACAAAAATACTTCTCTGTGGCTCAGCTGATGCCTTAATAAATCTTCCATTTCATTATCTCCCATTTCAATTTCTGCATCTTCCTCAGCTTGCACTGTGTAAAAACAAACACCCATAAGTAACATTGCTAAAGAAAAGCTTGAATTCCAGCATGTCCTTTAGACTGTACAAGCAGCTCTGACATTCTGCTTGCCCAGTACCATTGCTAGCTTGTCTTAGCCAATGAAATAATTACAAGATGACTTGTGTCGACCCTTGCCCATCGGACAAGTGAGGTTACTTGCCCAAAGAGAAAATCTGCTTGTCATGGAGGACCTGAAAGATTTTTCTTCAAGGCCTGAGTAACCAAATACTCCACTAAAACTTGCTGAAGATGTTGACAATTTCAAACAGTCAAGTAATTTAACATCTTGGCATGCCACACAAAAAAACATGAATTTATTTTAAGCTAAGTGATTGGTAATAACCTTCAAATATGTTAATGAAAAACTTTTCACAGTTTTTTATTCTGAACTGGTATTGTAACCAAAGATCCCAGACTCAGTTATTGTGGTATGGTATTGAACTAGAAAATTTTACCAATTGTAGTATTAAGCCGTGATATATTATTGTTCGAAAGCACTATTACCAGTACTGGCACGGACTGTGGGTAAATAACAACTACTTTGTAACAACCAGACCATGACATTATGTATGAATAAATCATGTAAATACCTAAAATTAGTATTAGTAAAACCATCAATGTTAAGTGCAATCTAATTAGCACCATTATGGACATAATTCAAAACTTTTATGATAGAAAATCACTTCTGTTGGGCATGCATTAGATAAGTTTTTTGGTTCAGATTTTCACACTTAGAGAAAATGTTTGTCAAAATGCCAAAAAAATAAACTATGCAAATAAATTTCACATCATGTTTGTACACTTTAGCAACACCATATAAAACCCCTGATGTGTCAAGATTTGTGGTACAACTTGTTTTTTGGCCATCAGCTCCATCTTACTTCTGAGGATTATTTACATATGTATTTTAAGAGTCACAAACATATCAGGTCAACTTAAGTTTTAAGAATCATGCATTATTGGATTGCTGGTACATCTTTTAAAAAATACTTGACAAAATAGTGCACTGCAGCGGGTGAATTTGTATGATGCACATCATGAAAAGTGTGCCACAGAAAACAAATATAAGGAAAGCCAAGAAAGTTTACAATGAAAGTAAGGTAAACTCTTTGTTTATGGTAATGTATCATACTGAATTCAAAAATATGAACAAAGGAAAAAAATTAACCACAACATATACTTAGATATGTCCTATTCCCTGTACGCATAAAAAAACTCAAACACATTGTGAACTACACAGTTCACCAGTCTAAGGAACAAAATCAATTTGTGTCAGTCTACAGATTTTTGCTGTAAAAAAGATGAGGTTAAGTTAGTTGAAAAGTTAAGTTTTGGTAAGTTTTTTCTGAGACCTACATATTTTTTACCCTAATTCATAGAGTAAAGTAAATAGCCATAACTACTGTGGGTGTTATGACAATGAATAATAACTCAGCAAAGAATGTAATTTGAAATCTCTAAAAACTGAAACATTTATCATAAGATTAATAATCTACATAAGGAGCTACTCACAAAGTCTTTTTGAATGTCTGAAAAATCTTTTCCATATTTCTGAATGGCTTCTTCAAACAAGTTTGCCTCTCCTAAAATAGCAAAAACATGATAAACAAATAGTTCTTTAACTCATTAATGGTAAATGATATAATTATGTCTAAATGTCAAGTTTTCATGTGAAGTTAGGAATTTTCACACATCATGGAAGTCAAGCAACTGCAAAAATGTACACATGATACACATGCTTTGCTTTCTTTCCCGCTCTGGTTGCAGTCTCCATTGTCATTGCTTACGTTTGCTAAGAATGGTTCACTGAATTCTCCATATGAGGGTGGAATTTATAAACACAATCCCTTCAATTTCCAATGGGCTCAGGTAATCCGGATTGAGAGTTCTAAACAGAGATTTATCCTACTGAAGAAACACCTTCACTTCACCACATCAACACAAACTGAATGTCACCAGTAACCAACCTGCAGACCACTCTTCCATCTCATCGCGGCACAGAACAGGTCCACCGGCAGGAACAAGATTAGCTATTGCCTTGCCAATGTTGTAACCATTATTGTGGAGTATAAACATGCCATGAGCCTAAAAAATTTTTGTCAATTGATCTTTAAAATAATAACCAAAATATTCAAAGTACAGCGCAACCTCCATATAATGAAGGTCCAAGGGACTGGCAAAAATTGTTTGCTATAACAAGGTTTTGTTATATCAAGGCTCTTTTTTATAAAACTTTACTAATAATTGGGTAAAAAAAATCATTCATTTCACCAAGGACTTCTTCATATAGAGGGTCGTTACATGTACATTGCGGTTCCACTGGACACTAGAATCCCAATCCTGAAACCACAATTTGGCCTGTTTCCCCGGTCAAACACTGTAATCCTCAACTGCCACCTTGGCCAAAGACTTGAAAAAAAAAAATCAGAATTCCACTTCAATTCAGTTTTAAACTTGTGAATTACGCGTAGCATGAGGAACGAGTTATTGTGGGCACCTCCAACATGGTGGCCAAAACTTCTTTTTGCTTGTTTGTATCTTGTTAAACATTTGAGTTACTCTGAGATGTGCTGTAAATATTACCACATCATCTTTTCAATATTTTTCCTTGAAATTTAGGAGGGAAATTTGAGTTCAGAAAGAGGTAATTCATTATTTTAAAAATCAGGATTTGGTTACATGACCAGCTACAAGCTTACTCAAAACCAAATCACTATTATTTTGCTTAAAATGTTACCACTAATCGCTTTTTGAAGGTCAAATAATATAACTTTCATTTTCATAAAAACAATGTCATACGACCTCTTGGTGCAAATGGCCTATTAAGATCCACACCATTAACCCTTTTGAAAAAGTTTTCCTGAGGTAGAAAGAGATTAAATGACAAGTATTCAAGAACATCTGATATATCTTTAAAAATAGACCATTTTATAGTTGTGAGCTTAGAATCCCAGCCTTTCAGTGAATGTGAGCCTGAGGCTGACCTTGTTTTGATACAAACCTCTTTCCTTTTCTTATGGAAATTATGCTTAAAAATACCAGTTTGAATAAGAAAAACATGATTTACATAATAAAGCAGGAAGGATTGTATCGAAACAATGTCAACTCCAGCCTCGTTTCCACCTGTAACTGTAAAATGGCCTATATTCAACCTTTGAAGTCTACTGGTTTACTAAGGATAATGAAAAAAGCCACTCACCAAAGTAATATCCCTTGAAGCTGCTGCAGCACTCATATGAAGGCTAGGCTGTTTGACTGAGCTGCTGCAGTCAAGTGCTCTTGCAAATGTTCCAACGGATCTATAACAAACAAATAACCAGTACACACTGTAGGTGGTTTACAAGGATAAGTAAAAGACATTTTTAGTCAAAGAGGTCCAGATCAACAGGGACTCCATTTACACTAACTCTGCTAAATTGAATGCTCCTGGATAAATATTGATTTTTTAAAAAAGAGTACATCCTACTCTTTCAAATGTTGGATGCAAGTACATGTAGGTTTATTTCCTTGCCCAAAGCCACTAGCTAGTCTATCATTAAAATATGTTTTGGAAGGGTAAGTGAAGCAATGAAAAAGTGTTCATATTCCAAGGGAGTAACTTAATTAGCCCCAGGACACCAAGCGGTTACGCCAGCTGGGCATTGACTGACATCAAATGTGATCAGATCAAATGTGTCTTGCTTAGTCTTTCGAGTAGCTGTTTTGTTTATTTCCCTCCCTCCCACTCTGGGAGCTTCTGTCAAGTCCTCAGAGGCCGGCCTACGTTTACTCATTAAAGATATCCGAACAGATTCACTGGCTTGTTGTCTGTTGAGGTCAAGGGGACACTGCACTCCAGAGAAAAGTCAAAGACAAGCTTTACAGCTTGCTAAAATAATAATTTTTATTATGAACCTCAGAAGCCTAGAAGGGGCTGGGTTACCACAGGAGCCTTGTTGACCCATAATATTTAATTCTCAAGGACTGGTCCTTGAAAATGTCAAAGGTGAGCTCTGGATTTTTAATTATTATTATTATACCTTGCTATTACGAGGAACTGGTCAATGTGTTGATCTTGTAGAGGATTGTTTGGATCCCACACTAATGTCTCAAGCTTTGAAAGATCCCTGTCATCTTGTAACCCTATAAAGAACACAAGCTTCTTTAAATAGCTCATCACCAAAAAATCTTGAAGTACAATCAGCAATAATGAGGGGCCAAAGGGGATCCTATGTAATTTTTTTCATTGATACTTAACATATTTACTGGAAATTAAACAAGAATGTTCTGTCCCAGAATTGCTGTTGTAGTTTTATCTTATGTAGTAGCTGTTGCTGCTTCTAGTTAGGATCATGTCACATAGCCTCATTACGGTAAAGTGTAGTTTCATGTCTGAAGACAAGATTTAATCATGAAAAAATTAAATTTTTAAAAAGAAAGTCCTTGACAAAACCTTAGCAAGCTCCTGCAAGTGTTTGTTTAAATTTTGAGTTTACATTGTATTATAAATTGATAAATGATTTAAAAAACTCTTAGTCTCCAACAATAAAAATTACCTTTTATAGCAGTTTTGGGCACATGAGCCTGATATGCCGTCCCAATTCCCATTTCACCTCTGTCTGCAACTAAGGTTTTTTGTTGTGGATCATAAACCAGGAAGTAGTGGAACCAGTCCTATGTAAAAAAAAACAAGATAAGTGTTGTCTAGTTATCTCATGCTTTGAGCATGGTATACTTTATATATAATTATCTGGCCCCAGTTGTTCAAAGGGTGAATAACACTATCCATGCAAGTGATTTCCCTTACCTTTATCCACTGGATAGTGATCGAAAAAATCTTGCGGATGGTGCTATCCAGGGTTTGAACAACTGGGGGAATGTAGTTTTAAAAGCCTTTGGGAAGAAATCAGGGAGGAGGGAATTTATTAAATATGTTAATATAAAAACAAGAATTACTTTTGATTACAGAATCCTGGAGTAAGATGTAGTAAGACTTTTTTCTTCCAGTTAAACCTGTATTAAGCAGTCACCATTGGCAAATGGCCAACTGATCGCTTTGCGGTTGACCGTTTAATATGTACAGGTTTGACAAACCAAAGAGTCCCTCAAGAAAATGATCCCAAAGTGTTTCTACTGATTCTTGTACCAAAAGAAAGGAAATAAAAGACCACTAAACACTTAATGTAGACTTTAGTTCTTACATTACTAGTTATGTACATCTTGACCGAGTCACCACTTTATAGAGGTGAGGACCATAAAAAATTACTTGCTGGGACCTTGGAAAAGATAACCAGGGCCACATAAAGGAGATGAGGGCTTATATACAAGTAAGTTCTACTAACAATATTTAAGGAAAATGATTTTAGGGACTTTGATAAATGAGCGCTTTAAAAAGGTTGAATGCTTGAAATACAGCCGGTTTGACTGTATTTTATTCCTTCTCTAATATATAAAAAACACAAAAACACAACAACACAACCTCGTACTTTTCCCTAAAGTACTGACAGAGGTTTTGTCAACTCATGACTCAATTAAACTATTAACAAACCTCTTTTTCTAAATACTTTGGTAAAACTTCTGCTTCATTGTAGAGCGTGACCAAACATTTCCCTCTGAAAGGAAATGAAATAAATTAACCTGGCTCACTTTGGAATTTCTTTGGAACAACTTTAATGGGAACAATGAACTTTTAAAGCGCTAAAGCTAATGCACAAGTTATATACCTCATTGGTACTTAATTTTGCAGGTAATTACAGTTGTAATTTCGCATTTTGGCGAAAGAGTATTTTGCGGGGTTTTATTTTCACAATTTTAACAAGTTAACATGAAAAAAAGGGCATTAAGTTTTGCAATTTAAACGCTCTCAACTTCATTTTCTTTTTTTAAGAAGTCTGAACCTTTAAGAAAATTAGATTTATAACTGGAACAAGCAATATGTGAGATCTTTGGAAACTAACATCATTTCATGGCAAAAGATACAAAATGGAGCTTACCAGTAAAACCAGAAAGCAATTTGTGTTTGTCAATACATATCGTTGCTATTACATGCCAATTGTCATTTTAATTTTCTACATGGGTATTTAATTTCGCCAGCTTTTAATTTCAAAAGGATTTATCTTTGCGGGGCTTTTAATTTTGCTATTTTTTTACAATCGCAAAAAACACGAAATTAAAGACCAGCGAAATTAAGTACCAGTAAGGTAACCATTATTAGAGATTTGTCCATATTTTGCCTAAAACTGTTTTAACCCTTTATGGCCCAATATTCTCCAGACTGATCTACATACATTTCCTGAATGAATTAGTTGAGATAATTAAATAAAAGGTCAAAGCATTGATAATGTTCTGATCCTGTCAGGAGAAAATTGACATAGGTCACTCTTGGGACCTAAGCATGGCTAATCAAGTTCTGATTTTCCACATTAATANTTTATCTTTGCGGGGCTTTTAATTTTGCTATTTTTTTACAATCGCAAAAAACACGAAATTAAAGACCAGCGAAATTAAGTACCAGTAAGGTAACCATTATTAGAGATTTGTCCATATTTTGCCTAAAACTGTTTTAACCCTTTATGGCCCAATATTCTCCAGACTGATCTACATACATTTCCTGAATGAATTAGTTGAGATAATTAAATAAAAGGTCAAAGCATTGATAATGTTCTGATCCTGTCAGGAGAAAATTGACATAGGTCACTCTTGGGACCTAAGCATGGCTAATCAAGTTCTGATTTTCCACATTAATAGGATTACTTTTATCAATTTTGGTGGACAAAATATGAATTAAATTTGAATCAAGTTTGATATCTGTTTTCACTGCTGCTCCCTTAACAAAACTCATGGCTTCCAAAAATCAGTCACTTTGGAAAACTAGCTGACTATGATTTCACCTTGGACACCTAGATCAGAGAAAAGGTGGTTGTCCAAAGAGGAACCAAGATCAAAAGTTAATTTTAGACCCTGGACTAGTAACTTACAGCTAAGTTAGTAGTCTCCAAAAAAATGCTTACGAATTTTTAACCAACTTCTTTTCTACCTAGTGAATTCAATAACGGGCACTTCTCCCTGTAAATCATCAAATATGATTAACTAGAATATTACCTTATAGTATTAGCGTTGATGTTTTCATACTGCCGTGACAAAAATACTTCTCTGTGGCTCAGCTGATGCCTTAATAAATCTTCCATTTCATTATCTCCCATTTCAATTTCTGCATCTTCCTCAGCTTGCACTGTGTAAAAACAAACATCCATAAGTAACATTGCTAATGAAAAGCTTGAATTCCAGCCTGTCCTTTAGACATGTACAAGTAGCTCTGGCATTCTGATTGCCCAATGCCATATCTACACATAGCTTGTCTTAGCCAATGAAATAATAACAAGATGACTTGTGTCGACCCTTGCCCACTGGACAAGTGAGGTTACTTGCCCAAAGAGAAAATCTGCTTGTCATGGAAGACCTGAAAGAACTTTCCTCAAGGCCTGAGTAACCAAATACTCCACTAGAACTTGCTGAAGATGTTGACAATTCCTAACAGTCAAGTAATTTAACATCTTGGCATGCCACACGAAAAAACATGCATTTATTTTAAGCAGAGTGATTGGTAATAACCTTCAAATATGTTAATGAAAAACTTTTCACAGTTTTTTATTCTGAACTGGTCTGGTAACCAAAGATCCCAGACTCAGTTATTGTGGTATGGTATTGAACTAGAAAATGTTACCACTTTTAGTATTAGACCATGATATATTATTGTTCAAAAGCACAACCAGTACTGGCACGGACTGTGGGTAAATAAAAACTACTTTGTAACGACCAGACCATGACATTATGTTTGAATAAATCATGTAAATACCTAAAATTAGTATTAGTAAAACCATCAATGTTAAGTACAATCTAATTAGCACCATTATGGACATAATTCAAAACTTTTATGATAGAAAATCAATTCTGTTGGGCATGCATTAGATAAGTTTTTTGGTTCAGATTTTCACACTTAGAGAAAATGTTTGTCAAAATGCCAAAAAAAATATACTATGCAAATAAATTTCACATCATGTTTGTACACTGTAACAACACCATATAAAACCCCTGATGTGTCAAGATTTGTGGTACAACTTGTTTTTTGGTCATCAGCTCCATCTTACTTCTGAGGATTATTTACATATGTATTTTTAAGAGTCACAAACATATCAGGTCAACTAAAGTTTTAAGAATCATGCATTATTGGATTGCTGGTACATCTTTTAAAAAATACTTGACAAAATAGTGCACTGCAGCGGGTGAATTTGTATGATGCACAACATGAAAAGTGTGCCACAGAAAACAAATATATGGAAAGCCAAGAAAGTTTACAGTGAAAGTAAGGAAAACTCTTTGTTTATGGTAATGTATCATACTGAATTCAAAAACATGAACAAAGGAAAAAAATGAACCACAACATATACTTAGATATGTCCTATTCCCTGTACCCAGAAAAAAACTCAAACACAATGTGAACTACACAGTTCACCAGTCTAAGGAACAAAATCAATTTGTGTCAGTCTACAGATTTTTGCTGTAAAAAAGATGAGGTTAAGTTAGTTGAAAAGTTAAGTTTTGGTCAGCCACAATTTTTTCAACTTCAAAGTTTATCTGGCTTCCAAAGGCTTTTGTTCAGCCAAAAGTTTTAACTTTTTTGACAACTACCTTCAGTTACATGGAAAGTTGTGAATCTGACTTAATTTGAGAAAGACAACCATTAATATGTATCTCTACATTGATCTTAATTTTATTAAACTTTGCAGTAATGATATTAATCATTACTAAAAGCAGCAGTTATCCAAGGATTTGAATATATAAAGTAGCTTCTTAAATCGAAGAAAATTATATAGTTAAGATCATGGGTTCAAATTACATGTGTGTCAAAGAATATCATAAGTATTGTTACTGTATATCTAAATCAGTATTCATCATAATCTCCCCAGGGCACAAGGTAAATTAAAAAACACAAATACCATGGGTCATCATCTTAAGAAAAATGGAAATTAAGAGGGTGCAGATAATATTTTACTTTCTTAAGACTTTCAGCTATTTTACTGGTGATTTCATCAACACAGCATAGTACATGTAAGGACAGAGCACAGTTCAACAAATTTTCTGTTAAGCTTTCCTAAATTTATTAACAAATAAACACAACTCCATACAGCAGAAAAATCCACTTTTCAATGGAAAGTTACTTCAAAAAGTGGGTAATTCTTAGAAATAATAATATTGATACACACAGTGGACTGGGAGCAATATAAACACAAAGCAATGAGTAAAACTGGGTATATGTCTTTCTCTGAACCGTTATTGACAATAACTATACAAAAATTCTTGTGCTAAGGAGATGAAACACAGAGTGAAAAATTCATGTCATTCTAGAACCTCCAATTGACTTAAATTGACTTGTGGTAAATCTAAAAAAAGACCAACTTTCTTGATAAATAATCAGAAATGTGTGTTTCTTTTCTATTATTTTTCGCAGATGACAATAAAAAAAGGAGAAGAGATACACAAACAAAATTTTTTTACAAAATAATATTTGAATTTAAAAGTAAACAAACATATATGACAATGCAAAAAAATGCCCAAATCAAATTTTTGAAGCAGAGATGTGATTTCCCGCCTTCTTATTCTCAGAATCTATAGAATTCTGTCTAAAGCTTAAAGGATATTTACAAGGTATACTTTCTGCGCACTATCTCAAGTCAGGAAGAAAAGAATGCTAACCATGGAAGCAAGGCCTCACATTAGTCTAGGTCAACATTGAATTATGTCACTTATATGGTAAATTATGTTCAGTTGTATTTATCGACTTTATGAGGACAATGAAGAAGAAAAAACTATACCACCACTTTTTGCTACCTGTAAATAAAAAATGTAGAAAAGCGTAGGAGCACTTTACAGGCAACCTTTTTTGACAAGATACAAACTAAAGCTTTCACAAACTGATACTTACATAAGTGCCTTTCAGCTTGCAACGCCAGCGTCGAGGATAAATCTCGCTTTCTGTAAAAACACTGGACTTTTGCCTCAACTTGTCCATTGCTTGTCTTCAGAAAAAAGATGAAGTGTGTTTCATTTTCAAACATCCTCGCATAATTAACATATTTATGAGTACGCACAGAGCCACCTTAAATTTTTACCTTGGTCAACTCCTCAATTCTTCGTATTTGATACGGTAAAGCCGGGTTGGTTTCAACGTACACATAATCTGTAAAGGGCATAGAAAATAGGGCTGTTAGTCACCGTCTAATTTCACTGACTGTGCGGGTTGCAGCAAAAGAAAATGCACATGGTCACCAAGACAGGCCGCTAGTTGGTAACCGTATCGCGCGCACGAAAACGACAACGACGATTCGCGGCGAATTCGGAAAGTTTGTCGGTTTCAGTTTCATTTCTTATTGAATCGTATCTACATTTTTCGACAAATTACAGGATTATCAGTGTCCAGATATCAATTGTACGAGATTTCCCTCGGGTTTTCAAGAAAAGAAGGGACAGTGTGTAATGATGTCCCCGACAAGTTCGTACACCGTACGGCTTTTGTTCACTCGCCCGGTAGACGGGCAAAATAACGCAATCGTCCGCGCGTTAAAACTTATCACCTTTGTCAAGGAAAAGCTTTTATTTCCTAGTTGAGGTTTGCACAAAGAGTGAAGCTATCAAATCTGGGAGACAAAAGCGACGTCCCAAAGATTTTTTTACGACGAGGGAAGTTGAAGCATTTCGTCAAAAATTCCCCCAAGTTTATATTGTGATCACACTCACCTCCAACCCGGAAAACATTTGATGCGTTCGCCATGTTACTTTTATGGCGGGAGTTTCTTATTCGAAACTGCGATCAATAAGAATTACAAATGTCAAGTTCTTCATGGAGCCTGTGCACTATTCCACCGAAAACGTCATACACCACACACGAACGCGGCCATTATTGTTCACCCCTCCAGCGAACCACGCGTCTTTTGACGTCACGAACGGAACGGGCTCGCCGCGTATTGTCACGAAGCTGTCAGATTGAAGCAACAGCGCAGACTCGGACAGAGTCGTATTCTTTCGTACAGCGTCAGATTGTTTAGATTGACGTAAGCGTGATTGACAGTTTGTTTGTATGTTTACTGGTTGCAACCTTAACCGACGCACGCCCAGGCGTTCCTGATTTTGATTGGTTCGCAAGTCGACATAACGCAAAATGCGTTCATATAGTCACGGCTTCGAATGATAACAGTTGATAATTCTGTTTAAATTTTGTAAAATATTTTGGGTGCAAATAACTATATTTTGGTTCAGTTCGATACAATGCTAGTTTCCTTGACATCTTTAAGAAAATGAAGGCAACATTTTTGCTTTGAAAAAACGTTTAACATATCAATATGCAACAGAACGAAAACGTCTGCTGCTAAAGTAATTAGCATTGACAGATCGCAACGAAAATCAAATCTTCCTGCTTCATGTTCAGTTGTAAAAGTTATCATTTACCATTCTGACCTATCAACTCAGTTGTCATTGAGTGGAATGCTAGAGTATGTAACATTCAATTCAAAAATGTTCAAAAATACATCTTGTTCAAATTGGGTTTGATTCCTGATGCTGTCCGTAATTTGATACCGTACTTTTTTGATGACACATTTCAGATTTTGCGCAGCCGTAGTTGAAGCGGCCGGAAGAGTATTAAACCGGTTTATCCTGTCTGACAAGCGGGTATGTTACGACCAACAACAATAAACGGAAGGCTGGATCTGTCCGTTGATTGGTTGCTTGTCCCTATAAGAAAGTGATGGAAGTTTCTGGACAGTGGACACGGGAAATAAAATGCGTTCACTGGTCTTCACTCTGTTTAATTCGGAGGAAATGCGAGTGGAAGCTGTATAGGGACTAAATATCCATTGAGATATTACTCGTAACTGAGAAGCCAGTGTAGGGACTAACATCAGCTATAGACTTTAAAATAACAAACATTTGAATAATATTGGTACTATGCTGGAAGGATGCATCAAAATATAGTATGATTGCCTTCAGTAAATTGGAAAGTTTTTATAGTGAGAGCTACTATACCTAGAAGAGTCGCCGATTAATTTTCACGGAACAGTACCAAATATTAATCCGGATTATTTATAAGTATTGCATAATAGTTGCTATCTATTATTGAATCGAGCCGGACACATGCAAGCGGATTCAATAAACAATGCACAGATTACAGGTGCCACGCTTTTGAACAAATCGGGGGCGGATAATTGTTGGTATAACAAATCAAGGATTCAATGCGACAAACGCGGCATATAGCCCTAATACTTAACCATAATTTATGCAACAAATTTGCGGCAATGGAAATTTTACTTCATGAATAAGTCATTTGCACAAGACAAGAACTTGTGCGGGGGATACGCCATCAGTTTGACATAAAATAAAATTGTAAGGTGATCTTGATAAATCTCATCCATGTCTTCTTTTGTTCTTTCGCGGTGAGCTGTAGAAGCAACCGCGACATCTCATTACAGAAGGAAATCGTTTCCGGTCTGAACACAAACTCTTATGGTGAATATATGCAAATAGAAGCTGCCGTTATTTGAAAACTATTGACTTTGCAAGATTAAGTCGTTTCAAATGTGAACGCTTGTGCTTGTTGGCGTACAGCCAACCATTACGGTCTACCCACACCAAGTGGTTACGGATGAATGCATTTGTATTCGTCATCGTTTGCTTAATAAAATTTGAGACTTAAACATGATGAATGGTAATTTAAACGTGAAAGACCGCTGATTTTAAGGTACTTGAAATCCTTTGGTTTCAAATCTATCCACTATCTAAAATAAATGAAGATGTAAATGAGTGGATTCGGTGATATTTCTAGTGTTTACATCACATTACCAGGGAAATTACTAGAAAAATCGCTTCAATAGTACAAACTGACCTTTGTATCGAGAAAGGAATTATGGGAATGTTCTCTAAAACTTCGATTTGAATGACAATTGTAACAGCTGCCACGTTTACACCGAGACTGGCCCCTTCTGTGATTGGTTCAAACAAAATATGATAGATAGTATCGACGACGGCTTCATGACATGAAAAGAGGGTTGATGTATATAAAGAGTATCTCGTATCGTCTGGTATCTAGTTATGAAGCACTCTCATCAATGCTGATAACTTTACCTGTGTATGTGTTAGTGTATTGGTTAAAATTGTTCTTGAGTACATCAGTCAATTTCTACAATGAATAAACTACAATCTTTTTAAAATGAATTTAGGCTGTTAGCTGGGAGCAAAACTTCTCCCGTGCAGTGAATGCCACAGATGACCACCACAGCATGACTAAGTTAAAGACAGGTGAACACTGATCAGATTAGCGGATCAAAGAGATAAAATTATGTACGTCCACTAAGGGCGCTTTCCATTTGTCAGAACTGACCGGCCAGTCCATTCCCATCGTAATGAGAATTCACTATTAATCAAAACTAACCATCCAGATCAGTCAATTCGTAAATATTATACGCCGGACAAAGGAGATGGTTTTCAAAAAACATCTTGGAAAAAGTCTAGAGCGATTTTCGTATAACCTTGAGATGAAAACGCGCGAACAAGACAGAAACAGCAAACGAACGAAAATAGAGCGATTTGATTGGTTTGTCGAACGGATACAAACGCGGTTGGCTTTTGGTTTGTTAAGCGAACACTCGGATGAAAAAACTTCACCATCGGGGAAAACTAACCCAGCAGTTCATTTTCTGTCGGTATTTTCTTATTTTCCTTCACAAGATATAATTAAAGGGGCGGACGCAAAAAATTCAGGAGAGGGCTGAATTCATTGATTCAGTTAAATAGACCCCCCTTCAGCTGAGCATCGCGATCTTTAAAATGGCGGTGCTGTTAAATTGATGTTAAATTACTTGCTTTTGGTTCTCAACAAGTAATAAGGAAAACTGCTCGTACAACTCTATTATTTGTTGTAATGCAGTGGTTGTTAGTGATTGGTGCATTTTTTCTACACTCCGCCTTACGTACAGTAATGAACTTTTTAACCATGCAAATGTGAAAATACCAGACTCTTTCACCACCATGCATTTTCTGAAACGGTGAAAGTTTGGGACTTACTGACCGTGAAAACTCGTGTTAGATGATTACTGCTGATGGTAAAAAGATCTGCTTAATACAGATTGCTCTATACTCTGCAAGAGCAGACTCCATTTTCGGTTCTTGTTTCACGGGCGTCTGCCGGCTCTCGCAGGCTAGTCGCTCTACTAGTCATGCCACTTTCTCTGGGCAAGAGTGCTTGGGTCTCTTGGGTCATTAAAATTTTCAGACTCCTTTAGGACAAACTCTTCGTGGTCTTTCCACACAAGCTTTAAATTTTGGTGAAAAGAACTTCGGACAACTATGTGAATTTTAAGTTTTATTAGTGACCATAGATGGTAAATTAAAATATGAACTATACACAATTATACTTAATGTTCTAAGACTAATAGTACAATATAAACCTCTTAACGCGCCTAATTATTGACGACAATATATTACAAGTCGTCTTACTAGTTAACTGCCGAGTCAATCTTCAACAGTGCCATACAGTGTAGTCTGTACTTTATTGTATTTATCGTATTCAATGGCAGTTATTTTACCGGTTATTTGAACTTGTGCTTTTGAGACTGACTTATTTGCAATTAACTGAGGCCCCGTCCCGTCCACACATATCCGATTTTATTTATTTCATTTATTTATCCTTACGTGTGGGCGGGACCTAATTTTTTGTACAACGAACAGTCTATTTTATCAAAAGATATAACAATAGAGGCCTTTTAGGACTAGACTACGAGTAGTCCCCCATTTTTCCTCAGGGATAGTAGAGCGAGCGAAACGAGAGCGCGCGTGAAAATCACCCCACGCGAGAAAAGGCGACACGCGGCGTGTCGCCTTTTCTCGCGTGGGTGATTTTCACGCGCGCTCGCGTTTCGCTTGCTCTACTATCCCTGAGGAAAAACTGGGGACTACTTGTAGTCTATTTTAGGACAAGAATCGACTTTAAGTGTTTTAAGTATTCTCAAAAAAAAGATACCCTGCGAAGCTTCATTTTACTTTTTCTAGAATGACTACGGCTCTCGCTTAATTTTTTCCCGCCAAAATGACGCTGGTTCACGCGCTCGCAATACTTAGTGTTAAGAAAATCGCGTTTGTCTTGTAGTTGTCCTTGTCTTAGAATCTAAAGTTCTCTAATACCATAGAACGTCTGACTTAGAACAAAGTGACTATGGAACGAAGAGACCGGCTACCCTTTCGGCTTATACGCAACTCGATGATCTCCTTGTATGGTTTTCGGGTGTTTTCGGAAGTTGGTCGGCTTATCGTCTGACAGTCTACACCTATCATCTGTCTTTTGATCTTTCTCTTTCGTCATATCTCATCATCTTCTTCTTCAATCTCCTCTTCGACATCGCTTTCAGTGTCCTCCAGCTTTTCAGCATTAGAAGCCTGACTACCAAATCTGTAGTCAGCACCCGAAGAGCGCCTGGACCCGCTGTAATTCAACTGGGATCCAGTCTCTTGAAGCTCATCCTCTGACTCGGCATCCACAATTCCGCCTTCCTTGGTAACCAGGTTTTGAACAAGCGCCTCGTCCACGCCTGCGCTTCGCAGAATATCCGCATACTTGCGCTCTGCAGCACGTCTCGCAGTAGCCTGGGATTGTTGTTCAAAGAGCAGCGGTCGTTTGTTTACACGCTCCTGCATCTCTTGAAGTTCACGTTGGTATTCCTCTCTACGCGCTCGATCACTTTCTCTAAAAGAAACGGATACGAATATCAGGTCAGTTCGGCCATAATTTGCACAGTGACAAGGGACGTCTAAGACGTCTAGACGCATTGAACGATCATTGAAGGATTGGCCGACAAGAAAAAAAAGGCTTTAACGTCTGAGGACGTCTAAGACATTTATTAAGAGCGCCGATCAGGCACACGTATACTAGACGACTTCAGGCGTTTTTAAAGAAGTCCTCTCGTTATAAATACGGCCACTCTCACAGTGGTTAAAGAGTTCCAACATCATGTTCCAGTGACGGCCACGTGACTATTTCCATGTTTATTACCCTTATTGTTTGTCGCTTTGTGTGAATGTTCAGAAAAAAAGCACGTTACTGTTTCATCGTTCTCCGATACATTTTCTATCATAAAGCCATATTTGCAGTTTGCCGGCAAATACTTCAACGACCAAGTGCTCGAATGTACTTCCCGCTTTTCATTACTTGAGATAAAAAAGCAAACAAACTAGACTAGCTGCAAGGCTTTATAAAAGGGCATCTTTTTAGTACGTTACAAGTTAAAAGACCTTACCCCAGAAAGACGGATTGTGTGATTTGTTCTCGACAGAACAGCAGAGCTTACTCGCAGGCTAGAAAGAACTGGGCTTTAAGACTTAAAAGAGTCAAAAGATATGAAAGATTGGAGTCGGCCGCTTACGGAAACGATTTGGTAGCGGAAAGCTAAAAGGGGGATTTGCCAAGGCGGCCCTAAGTAGAACTGTCTGCTTATGTGATTGTACTTAGGGAGAGCTTTGACTGCATAATAACACAGCGATAAGAATCCTATCTCTCAATGCTTCGAATCTGTCAACATTAAGACAATCAGAGCATGACACCAGAAACATCGTCCCAGGAAAAGTTCAACATGACCATGGTTCTGACCTGAAACTTTGAACTTTTTCCTTTGCGGCTTTTTTCAGCTGCCCGCTATTATCATTCGCCAAAACTTTTCTCGTCACTTCTGGTTTTAACATCTTCTGTCTCCGTCTCCTACGTTGTTCTTGTTTAATCTCATCCTGTTCACTGGCTCTCCGCTGTTCAAGGCTCTTACGAACCGTGTTCTCGCGCAGACGCGTAGACTCCGTGGTGCTGAAAGAGAACAATAGTAACTGTTACTTTTACACAGCCCGGGAGCGGAGGGAGTCGCGAGAAGTCACGCGAGAGCTGCACGCGTTCTCTCGCAGCACGCTCCGCTCGCCATAAATGGGAGGAGATATTAGGGAAAAAATGAAGACTTCAATCGGGATTAAAGACACGGCTCACACCCCTTTCACCCATAGAAGCACGCACGTGGCACCGCTGCAGCTGATGCGAGTGCTTCTCTGGTTAGAGGCGATGAGAAACAAGAAATAAATGTTTCTAACTCAAAGTTTGCGCTTTGAACACAGTAGAGACCTTTAGGTTTGAGGACAAGAACGACCACGACTACGAGATTTGATTGAAAGTTTTTTGCGTATTCTCAAAAAATAGACTTCCCGAAAGGCTTCATTGTCCTTTTTTCCCCCTTCCTTTACTTAACACCCTTTCCCAATCGCATAATTATAAAACTTCTAACGTTTGATAACTCGTTTTTGCCATTACGACATTCTCGCTAAAACTCGTAGTAGAATGACGCCGGCTTTCACGCTTTCCCTCCAAAATGACGCTGATTCACGCGCGCGCAATGCTCAGTATTGAGAAAATCTCGTCCTCACAGTCGTCCTTGTCGTAGAATCTAAAGGTCTCTGATTTCTCGCGAGGCCAAACTAAGAAGCATCTGCTTCAACTCAATTTAGCCAGACTTGCTCCAAATCGACCTCTCATTAGTTTCGCCAAATCGATACTCACAACTCTTTCGATCTTCAGTTTTCATCGATTTCCGATATTAATCGATTAATTACTATCGATCAAGATCGATTACAATCGATTTTATCTAGTTTCGAATTTCATCGATTGGGCACGCCGGGAAGAAAGTGGCCGTTGTGGAGAGCTGACCGTTGTAGAGAGGTTTAAACAAGAGTCACTGTATGGACTGTCCACCAAAAAAGCAGCAGTTGTGGAAAGGTGGTCGTTAGTGGAGGTTTGACTGTAAGAAGATATTTTAAATTCGCGTCAAATCGTTCTAAAAATAACCGGGTCGATAAAAGCGTCGTGACACGAGTACATGGAAGTTACTCTCTCTGGGTAATGGGCTCCAGGTTAAACAATAGAGTGGTTTTCGTTTGAGTGTCGTAAAACCAAAACCAAAGTAATTACTCTGGCCAATCACATAGGACACAGACAATACATTGAACCAATCAAAACTCGAAGTAATAACATGTGGCTGACGCAAAGCGCGGGAAAATGCATGCGTGCGCGTCACAATTGGATTTGGTTTTACTTCTGATTGGATGAAAAGGTGGCGCGAATCTTTTAAGCCAATCGCATCGTGTAGAAAGTGCAAAACCAATTACTTTTCGACACTCAAATGAAAACCGCTCTAATGTCAGCAAAGACTCGCCCATATACCTACCCAAATGGAAGCGTATCGTGCGGAGTATGAGGCCTGGCACTCGAAGGTCGTTCCCGGCTGACCGATCGATCCCTGGACGATCGACCACTGCTGGGTATCTCCTGAGACCGCGAGCACCTGGATTTCCGAGCAGTGGACACATGCGCCGTTCTTAGGTTGAATGGTTCGGACACAGTAGGTTCCCGTTCTCTTTTCTTGTCCCTCATCTCCTTTTCAAACTGTCTGTGCAGATCGTCAAAATCCGGTATATCAGGATTTATCTGGGGTCTAAACTTATGTTCTTTTGTCATGAAGGCGTTCTTGTTGCCTTCTTTATTCAATTTGCTGCGAAAATGACCCAGANCGTCACAATTGGCTTTGGTTTTACTTCTGATTGGATGAAAAGGTGGCGCGAATCTTTTAAGCCAATCGCATCGTGTAGAAAGTGCAAAACCAATTACTTTTCGACACTCAAATGAAAACCGCTCTAATGTCAGCAAAGACTCGCCCATATACCTACCCAAATGGAAGCGTATCGTGCGGAGTATGAGGCCTGGCACTCGAAGGTCGTTCCCGGCTGACCGATCGATCCCTGGACGATCGACCACTGCTGGGTATCTCCTGAGACCGCGAGCACCTGGATTTCCGAGCAGTGGACACATGCGCCGTTCTTAGGTTGAATGGTTCGGACACAGTAGGTTCCCGTTCTCTTTTCTTGTCCCTCATCTCCTTTTCAAACTGTCTGTGCAGATCGTCAAAATCCGGTATATCAGGATTTATCTGGGGTCTAAACTTATGTTCTTTTGTCATGAAGGCGTTCTTGTTGCCTTCTTTATTCAATTTGCTGCGAAAATGACCCAGAGTGTATTCTTCACCCCGCGCTTCCATATTAGGAGGCAAGCGGGACACGGCAAGCATTTCTTGCGCGCGCATTCGCATTTTAATCGTTCTGTATTCTTCCTTCTCAGCCACCTTGTCAGCCAAAGTCAAATCGAACAAGTGATCAGGAAAAGGATTCGCTTTAAATTTCTTCTTTTCGTCCATTTTGTTCTCTAGATCAGCTATATTACTAAGGGATTTTGTTCGCCGCAGCTGTTTCTTTTCTTCTTCGCGTTTCACGAACTTAAACGGTTTTTCAGTAGATTTTAGAATCGCTTTGCTGAGCTCCCTAACTTGGTATCTCCTCAATTCATTTTGACGAGTTATTTCATCGTAAAGAGGCAAAAAAGTCGTAGCAGGAACAGGCTGAGCGCGGAATTTTTTATGCAGCTCTGCTTCCTCTTTTTCTTGTTTCTTTTTCAAATCCTCCTGAAGAATCGCCTGCGATCTTGTGATTTTTGCTTTCTTCTTAGCTTCTCTCACCGTCATACCAAATGGTTTAGGAATTGTTATCTGCGGAGTCCATTCTTTTTTCTTTTGCATTCTTTCGCGCGGAGGGCTCGATTCTGGCGGATAATCATAAACGGAGAATCCTTCCCACATGTCTTCAACAACATCCAATGCGGACGACCTCCGCGGATACATTTCCTGGTATAAACCTGTCCCATCTTCTGATTGTTTACTCGTTGAATTTATCGTTTCATCGTCCCAGGCTTCAGGATCACTGTAGGATCTTCTCCGCGGAGTTGACAGCTCCTCTAGAGAAGAGTCACCTGCAGAGGGGTACATGAAGTAAAAAGTTAGTATTCGCACCTATTACCACCCCTTCCCTATATTGCTGTCTTTCTCGGGAAGGAGGAAAACAAAATTTCCTGATCGCATTACCCTGTGAAGCCACAGTGAAAACTGCATGAGATATGTTAAGACATGAGGAGAAAAGAGCAAAGAGATCATAATTATGAGAGGGGAATTGAAACTCTATGGAAAAATCTGCATCCAGTGTGGGTCTGTCCAGTATTCTATGGGCCTGATTAATTTTGGCAACGAGCTCATCTACTTTTGCGATACTTGCGGCGATGGTTTATTGAATTTACTGACCAAATTTGTTGTTTTTCCTGCAATCTGCAACAATTTAATTAGTCTAGACACTTTGCCCTAAAGGGCCACTTTAAAATTTTGCCAATTTAAAAAACAGAATATGAGGCTTTCCCACCCCGACCCCTCAGTGCAATATTGTGCTGCTGTTCAAGCTACCCAAAGAAAATGACAAACACCACAACTTTAACTGGAGGGGAGAAGGGAAGGGTGTGTATTGTTTTGTTCTCCAAAGTTACCCCATGTGAGGACAATGTCTCAACAATTTTATTGTAGAATAAAGCCCCTACAATCATTATTAGAGTTGCTCAAGCAGTTTTTAAGGCATGAGCGTGGGGCTTGACTCCCAAGCCCCACCTCAGATCCCCAATAACACCAGTGTACAGGCTAGTCTTCCACCCAACAAGCAAATCAGCATAAGAGTCATTATGAAGCTAAGCCCATAACAGGTGAAAAAGGCAAAGACAAGCAAGATGAGTGATGCAACAATTTCAATTTCGTTTCTGAGAGTATCAGTGGGGTGGCAGCTTTGATGGTTGACTGTTTCTTTCTTTTTCCAATTTTGATGGTGGACACCCTTTTATGAACTTTTGAACATCTTCAGATATAAGCAAGTTGCAAGGTCTTGTAAGGTTTAGATAGAGTGCATAGAATCAATACTGGGGCAATTTATAAAAGGAAAAATGAGATGCACCCTACATAAGATAAGATGCAAACTCCTCATGTCCACTGATCATGATGTAAGACATGCCTTATTTTTTGTTGTATAAATGGCCATAATAATAATAATTTTTACCTTCGTTTTCCTTGTCCTCTATTTTTCTTTGATCTTTTACTGACATGTCCTTGACTAGATCTTTTGGCATGACTGGGATTTCGATGTTTTCTTCTCTCTTATCTTTATCCCTCTCTTCAAAGGGATTATAATCATGTAGAGGAAAATGCTGTGGGATTCTTCTTTCGTCAAAGTCGCCGAGACCTATTTTAGTCCTTGAATCCAATTCAAATCCAGCAAGGTGTCTGTCTTTTTCGGTATAATAAAGTTTTTCAACCGCTTTTAGAGTTTTCTTGTGTTCATTTTTCAAAGCCAACAAATGCTGGTAAAAGTGTTCTTCGTCAACATCGTCTAACTCCCGCAGAGACTCCGACAACGACTCCCTAACTGACAGTTTGGGCTTATGACCTTTGTGGTGTCTTTTGTGACTACGCGAAGATGGAGGCCTGTTAGCACCATTTACTTCCAAACCATAGTTTGCTGGTTGTTCAGCTTCTAAACTAGTTCTTGTTCTTTCATTCGTCGTGGCAGGTAGCTCTGTTCTGGGATGTCTTGGCGCTTTATAACAGAGATTTCTCATAACGGCCCCTCCATGACCAGACGCCATATTGAACTGAACTCATAACAACCGCATAGTTCTTGTTCTTTCATTCGTCGTGGCAGGTAGCTCTGTTCTGGGATGTCTTGGCGCTTTATAACAGAGATTTCTCATAACGGCCCCTCCATGACCAGACGCCATATTGAACTGAACTCATAACAACCGCCGTGTTTTGTCTTGACAACCAAAACAAATGACTTTCTTCCCATGGTAGGGTGGCAAGAGCCTTATGACCTGACCCACATTGATTAAGTTATGGAGGCTCAAGAAAGATTTTAGGTAGAATTATAGAAGAAAAATATTTTCTGTGTAAACTGGTCTTTTCTATTTATGACAAATTTTCTATGAATTTGTGATATTGTAGAATATAAGATCTTTTTGTATCCCTCCTCCCTAGGAAAAAGAGTTTGGAGCACGAAAGCCTCGTTTCATTGTTGTCGTTCCCATTCCCTTTGGTAATAGCCACGGTCTCTAGAATTCAAAATGTCGGAGGCGGCGTTGTACGTGTTTAGTCTCATCGATGGAGCTTGCTTATTATTTCTCACTGTATATTTTGTATCCTTCCATTAACTTATTAACTTTAATAACTTAGTCACTTTTTTATCTTTCATTCGCTTAAAAGTGGAGATGCGCCGTAAATTTAGCCTATCACTTTGCGTCTAAAGCAAAAAAAATGTATAAAAAATGAGCCAAGTCGTTTAATTTACTTCGACCTAGGCAAACACTTCCACACTACAAAATTGTTACAAAGAAATTATCATGAGTATGATTGCTGTCAATCTTTTACATATAATTATTTATTTCACACACATTTACGAGTGAATTTTTCGTAGGCAAAAAAAGGTTATATATATGAGCTTTATTTGTCTTGTGTAAATTCCTTGACATGCAATTTGTGCAAAATATCAGATCATTAATTTATCGGATTTAGAGTGCGACTACATCAATGCGACTACATGCTGTCGAAGACTTAACGTGGTAGGTGTTTAACAAGACTTATTGAACCTGGTCTTTTTCTAAAAATCATACAGTCTATCTGACATCTTCTAACCACACCCAGTTAAGATACAAGTATTAATTTAAGTGTCAGAGACAAAAATATTCTATAGATTGCTATTTTCCAGGGTATACCGTTAAATCCAGTAAATAATTACATCATCTATTACTGGTGAAATCTCTGAAATTTGTGCTCTGTTAATCAACAGGGATCATGTTTTTTTTGCATTTGCATTTACAAACACAACAATAAATTCTGTGTAGCCAATCCAATACAAGATCACTCCACCTCCTTTGGTTGAGCTACAGTAAAATGGGAAACAAAAACCTGCAACTTGTTTTGAATTATTGCTGTGAAATGAGTTGAAGGCCAATGTTGTGCATTTAACCACCCACATTCAAACCTGTCTTCAAAAAATCAGTTTGCTGCAAGGTGCATGAATACTACTTCCCTCTGAGTGGATAAAATTGTGCTGTAGTCATGCCTTACTTGGGTGTTACGTCAATTGTTGCAGCAGCATGTACAGAACTAACTCTCTGCATTCTGCAACAAATTTTCAGAACCCTCAACAAGATGATTCCTGGCCAGAAGGGTGTCCAGCCATCCTATGGATGCCCTTTTTTGGAAGGAATACAAGGGAATTCACTTAATCTCTTATAATTTAATGGGAAACATGCCTTCTGGATGCCCAGTTTTCAAGGTCTGGCTAGAAGCCTGTTCCTGGGGGGTAAAATGTGCCACATTGCTATTCAACTTATTTAGCAGCAACATTGCTAAATAGTTTCCCCCTTTTCACCCTACTATTAAATTCACTTGACACAGTCCAGTGATTGCATGTGATACACTTGGAGCACTGTTCTTAATTTGTAAACATTGTGCTTAAAAAGTATGGTACAGACAATAGTAAAGTTAGCACCTTTTGCATTCAGATTTGTTCTTGGTCCTTGATGACATTGTTTTTGTTTTCAGTGGATTCTACCAGAAATGGTTGCTCATGGAGTTATAACTGTACTTCTCCTCGTCCATTTCCAGTGGATATTTTTCTTAATCAATGCTCCTTTATCAGGGTGGCTTATTTATAGGTTGGTCTAATTTCATGTTACATTAGAAATTTGCTTTGCCGAAGATGCAATAGTAATATGCACTGCACTGTATTTCCTTAAAAAATGCAACTCAGCATTTTTTTGCTGAGTTCTATTTATTGCTCAGAGAGTACTGTGACTGCGTGATGCAGTTAATTTGTGTGTTTATACATGATTTAACATAATGTGACTTTAAGATGCAGTTGTTATGGCCCACAAATTACCTGCTCATCACTAGAGTCCTTAGTAGCTCAGTGGATAGAGCATCCCACTAGTGTATGGAAGGTCGTGGGTTCAATTCTGAGTCCTTCTCTCCACACATATCATCCTATCTAAAATTTAAATGCAGTTAGGTGATCCAAAAGTGATTTATTTGCCAGTACCAACAATAACATTATTGGAAATCACGTCTGTTCATTCCTTGAACAACCTTGTTTTGCCTCTCCTTAATGACAAATATAAAGCCAATGTGTTTTATGAGGCAGAGAATAAAACTTTATTTCTTGAGGAGGCAGGGCGGGGGGAGTGGTGTAGGTGTCTTTTGAATCCGTGACATTCACTGCTGCACAAAAACCAACTACAATCAGTGACAGGCTCATTTTAGACGCTTTGTCCTCAATATTATTTTCTCTCACTTTACTGACACTCAAACTACATGTAACTTCAAAAAGGAAAATGTCATCTTCCTTTCCCCACTTTCTCACTTCCCCACTCTTGCTAAAAATTATTGTTATCCCACTGTTCAAGTTACTTGACTGTAGGAAACTAAAAAACAAGCCACACTATTTGATTAAGAGGTCTGAGCTGATATCTGACAAAGATATATATATATCTATTAATGAAATTCTTCTTTGTGTATTTTGTTAGATTTGTTAATAAACCAGCTGGAAATGTCTGGTTGTATGACCCAGCAGAGATTCATAACAGGCATGAATTAAAGGGGTTTCTCAAAGAAGCTATGATCAAACTTGGATTTCATCTTGTATTCTTTTTCCTTTATCTTTACAGGTAAGGGTGTTATTTTCTCCTTTTTTGAGATGTTTATTGGCTGGGGTGAAGGGTTGCCAAACAGTTTGTTCAAGGTTTGGATTTAAGTGGTTTAAGAATCAAGAGGCCATCAATTATTATTCAAGCCCATGACCGTAAATCCAATGAAAAAATATGAGGCTTCATAATGGTTATGTTGTAGTTAGTTTTTTACCTCAGGTTAGTTGTGTTTTTCTTTTGTTTTTGGGTATGGTGATGCAGAGATGTTGCTAAGAGCCGGCTGCTGGCTAATTTCACTGACTGAAAAAGAGCTTATCACTAGTTCAAATTGCTCTGGAAAACAAAGACAAGGGGTAATTTTGATTATGATGCAGTTGGGTAAAAAAGCCGACCATGCTACTAAAACCCTTCAAAGACGTCTTAAAAACCAATGTAAAACAAGAAGTAAATATTCTTGTTCATAGATCACTTTCTTATTACTCTATTCAAGCATATTTTTTGGGCATGGTATATCCTCACACATAACATGTTGATGTTTGAGCGAAGAAAGAGTTGCTAAATGTGACCTTGTCAGAATGTTCGAACAAGTGAAGATTCAATTCATTGGATAGAAAAATGGCTATCATGCATGCAGGTTTTGAGATTGGTTCCATGAAATTTGGTAGTCAGCTCATGTGTGTAATATTATTTTATACATCCATATATGTTCTTAATCTATTTTATCCTTATTTTCTAACAGCTATATATTCAGGAAAAAATCTATTTGAACTTTATTTCAGTATGATTGCTGCCCTGTTAGCAGAGAGTGGCTCAGCCAAGTCAAAAAGTTGAAGGACCTTGATCTCGACACATTAGGACTTCTGAAAAACAAAGCTCGCCATTTCAGTAACACAGAAAAAGCTGTCACGATTCGTTTTTAACAACAAAGAATTCCAGGTCAGAGTACAAAACTCTGCCATGAAATGCTTGCATAGCTCTTTGTGTAGTACGTCAGTTAACATAGAGTGATGTTCGAGAAACTCTCTTGGGAAGTTAGCCATTTGACCTTCAAAGTCAGGAGGAAGTTTTGGGGGTGGGGGTGGGGGTGGGG